CTCGTTTCGTTTTTTTTTTTTTTTTGTTTTTTTTTTTTGCAGAGGGTTACAGTGCTAACACCACAAATTCCAGGCCACCGTCGAGGACCTCGACCCTCCGGCCGCGCTGTCCCTCACGCCCGCCGACAGCGTCTCCGACGCGCTGCTGTCCGCCTTTGAGCGCGACTACACGCACCTGACGGTCGTCGACGGCGCCACGCGCGCGCTCCTCGGGTACATTGCCATGCCGCAGCTGCAGGCGCAGCTCGACGCGGGCCGGGTGCGCGCCGACGACGCGCTGTCGGCCGTCATGACGCGGTTCCAGCGCAAGGGCCGCACGTACCGCGTCATTACCATGCAGACGCCGCTCGAGGAGCTCGAGGCCTTTTTTCGGGGCGATGGCGGTGCGGCCGGTGGTCAGGAAACGGCCGGGCCGTGGGCGCAGGAGTTTGCCGTCGTGACCGACGAGAATAGACGGTTCGTGCTGGGCGTCGCGACGGTGCAGGACTTGGAGGAGTTTGTCAAGAGACGGCCTGCCTAGGTTTCATGGCAGCAGGGGGACTGATTGATTGTGCAAGGCGGGCAGTTTTCACACACAAAGTTCGAGCATTATGAAACGTCAAGAGAGAAAATCGTCAAGACTGTATATAGCGAAAACAGGAGCAACGGGATCATGATATCCGCGTCCACCAATCTTGTGATACATAGGACTCAGGTCTACAATGTCTCGAACCCGCGCTCCGCTCTCCTCGGTTCCTCCTCACCCATCCTCACACCCCACCATCCCGTCCTCACTCCTCATAGTCATACACGAAGCGAAACTCGGCGCGCTGTCCCTCCTTGGCCACCACAAAGTTGCGGCAGTGGCGCCTCTGGCCATCAATCTCCTGAAATCCCCAAATCTGGTCCGCCGTCCACCCATAGTCGTCCGACTCGGCGTGCGACAAGATCAGATTCTTGCCGCCTTCGCCCTCGATCAGCCAGCCCGTCTTCAGATACTCGTCCTCAATGTCCTCGAGCCCGACCCACGCCGACCGCCCGCGGACGTTGCCAAACAGCCAGTCCGAGTGCTGGCGGTACGTGTTGTCGAGGCAGCGGCGTTCCTCGGTGCTCATGCCCGACGCCGACTGGACAATGTCAATGTGCCAGCACTCGGGCTCGGCCTCGTTGGGCGGGTTCGGCGCCGCCTCGTACTGGTTCGTCTCGAGCGTCAGGGTCGCGGCCAGGATACCCTTGCGCACGAGGTAGCTGATGCCCTGGATGATGAGGCCGGGTTCGCTCGAGTCGGAGTAGGTGTAGTTCTGGTTTGGCTGGTGTTAGGGGACCCGGCTTGAAGCTGTTTTGTGTAGTGCAGTAGTTGGGGGAGGAGGACATGTCAAGCTAGCGACGTACCACGTTCCACTTGCCGGTGAGGTTCTTGGTCGTCTTTTCGGGAGGAGCAGCCATGATTGCAACGGGAGTAGCGTTGTACTTTTTGGGTGAAGAAGAGCAAAAACGAAATATGAAGCTGGAATGAGCTGGAGCTATTGACGTAGGTATGGCGGGGTAAACTAGTCTAGTCGAGGGCTGATCAAAGGCGCAGCTATAGGTAACTCGAGTCGTTCACCACCAGAGAGAGGTCTGAATAACAGATGCTTTGATCTAGAAGAGGCAAGTTTCTCCCGCAGAGGTAGGAAGAAAACAGGACAAGTGTCGACTTTTGAATCCCGTCTCCAAAAAAACAAAGGTATCATCTCGGTAGCTGTCACCCAGGCAAAGCTTACTCCGTACAGCCAGAGCAACCAGAGCAACCAAACCCCGCGCGCCGGACCGACGCTAGCCCTTTCCCCTCACCACACTAGCCCCTGCCCAGACGGGACCGCTGAGGGGGGAAAAAGGGAACGGCGAACGTGTCTTGATTCTCGCCGCCAGGCCTCGGCTTGTTGCATTCGTCCGCGCCACGAATTGGCCCAACAGCCGCTCGCAACCAACCAACCAACCCTCCCTGTCTGCTTTCTAGAATGATGACGATGGAGCGGCTGAGGGCTTGGACCCGGTTTCCCCTCTCCATTTCCTCGATCCCTTGTCCTGACCCCCGTCTCCGCCTGGGACGCTGGTACATACCTACCTACATAGCTGGTCAGTTCATCAACTGACGTCGACCCAAACGAGCGGGATAGTACGCTCGTATGGTCGATATAGTTCCGCATCCTGGGATAGTACACAACAAACACCTCCTTCGTCCGCTTTCCGCTTTCCGCTTTTTTGGTCCTTGTCCGTTCCCGCAATGGCCGTGCCGTGCCGTCCCGTGGAATTGTCAGGTGCCGCATCCACGCCCGCCCATCATCATCTTACTCTTCCAAGGTGAAAGTCCACTTGCAGCATGTCCCTCGCCCGGGTACGTCGTAAACCCGGCATGTCCGCCACGGCTCCTACACTCGCCGCATCTGAAATTCCAATGTCAATATCATGACCCCCACTACTGAGGGGCATGTTCCTTGCCCCTCTGCCCAGAATCCTTCCATCACTGACCCCTGATCTCGGCTGATGACCGGCGAAGCATGCCTGGGAATAGCAAACCCGATATGAAACCATTATCAACACAAGCCTCATATACATTAGACGCCATCTTGACTTGGTAGTTTCATGTGCAAAGCCCCCATCATCGCCGTGTTTGGCTCGGGATAAATTCTAATGGTACACTGCTGCCCTGCTTATGGCCCACGACTGCTCCAACACTTACTGCAAATCCTTAAATGCTCCTCTTCTTCATTCTTTCGGATGCTCCCTGGTGCATTCAGCCTAGGTACGCAAACATAATGCCGCTAAATCGAGGTTCCGTGTGCACCACCGCCACTAAGGCCACCACTTCATTTTCTTGTAGCTCTCAATGACTTCCTCCACCAGTGCCTTGGTAATCTTGGGCTTCTCGTATGTAAATCCCAGGAGCTTGTCTAATCTGCCGCCATCCATGCTCAGGTCCGTGTCCTTAAGAAGTTCCTTCTCCATGAATGGCGTCAGTGGGCCTGGGCGAGTAATCCCGGCTTCGCTGAGCAGCTCGGCCCATGGTCCGAGCACCTCATCATTGACATCGTCGACAACGCTGTCAATGTTCAGACGAGCAAACGTGCTCACGATTTGACCTTGAAAATCAGTCTTGATCTTGAAGATATCCCCGATAATCTCAGCCATTGTGCCCTGTGTTGTAGCCGACTTGTCTACAACGTTGAATGTGGGAACCTTGCCCATCGCGGCGTCGTCCCAATTCTTCTTGCCGGCGTCGTACCAAGCTGCAATATCCCACAGCGCCCGCGTGGCGTCTGTGACGTGAACAGTATTTGTCCGGAGGTCCTTTGTCCAGAGCCACCCCATTTCCTCCTCGAGATGTTGATATACTCGAGCCATGCACAGAGCAGTTGCGACCCATTGCGAGGCATAAGGGCCGTAAACGTGGGGAAGTCGCACAATGGCGAGGTTGAGGCCATCAATCTTGGCCAGCTCTTCCTCGGCCTGTAGCTTGTAGACAGCAATCTTGCTCCAGGGCTTTAGCTTATCACCCTCTTTGCTCGGTGCCGAGTCTGACTTGTAAACCATCCCGGTGCTGAGCTCAACAAAGGCCTTGACTTTGCGCTTGGCAGCCTCCTTGCCGAGCTCGACCGAGAGGTTCAGTGATCGCAGCTTGTACACCTCGTCTTCTTGAGAGTATCTTGTCTCACCACCACAGTTGAAGACATAGTCCCATTCTTTACCATCAGGACGATCAAATATTCTGGCGAGACCATCTGAAGAAGAGCCGGTTAGTATACAACGACGTGGGGGCGGATGCGAATGGTAGGTTGCACTCGGGCCAGCGGCAACGCCTCGCTTACCTGGTTTGCTGGCATCTGCCTGCATGAACTTATCTTGGGAACAAGCATCGGAAAATTCGGGGGCCAGCCAGGCTAGCTGAGGCAGAACCTTATCGACGAGGCGCACTTCGGATGCCAGATTATTCTTGTGGATGTGGAGAGCGAGGAATCGGCCGAGATATCCCATGCCGCCCACAATGAGGACGGAAGGCTTGGCGTCGGCCATGTCGTTGTGGGCGCTGCAAAGCTTTGAGTTGTCGTGGAAAGTGTTTGTGGCAGTTGCGGTATGCAGGAGGCGCTTTTAAAGCAGACGAAAGTCGCGGAGCAAGCAGATAGAAAGCCCACGACTTAAACGAAATGCTTTGGCGCAGCGTACTCGTTTGGGAAGTTGGGCACGATTAGAAACGGGGCGGAGCGGGTTGCCAATGGACAATCGGGTCGATGCAGAGTATCGAGGCTATTTTGGGAAAAGACTGTCAGAGGATGTGGCAGGGAAGGGGGTGGCTCTTTATGTGAAATATGCGGCAGAGAAACAAGCGACCAGACAAAAGTCGCGTTGTCTGTGACAAACGAGCGTCGGGACTGGCGGGAGTGACTAACAGATTTGGGGGGAGCCGGGTGTCGGAGGATGGGGGTCGCAAACGAAACAGAGCCCGTTGAAGTCTGGTGACGAGAGGAGAAAATGTGGCTGTGATTGTGTGCGTCGTGGCAAGGGATGCAGGAGCGTGGCTTTGCAAGCGCAGTGCAGCTAGTAAAAAGGTAAAAAGTGAAGGCGGGATGTTGTCGAGGTTGGTTTAGGCCAAGGAGAGACGACGGACGACGGACGACGGACGATGCGTGGGACGAACAAGGCAGGAAGGAGGGGCAGCAGAGCGCCTTATTATGAACTTGCAAGTGCGTGCGGTTCGGCGGGCGGGCGGGCGGCGGGTTGGCTGGCACCGTGGCACGCGATGGGTGCGGCGCAGCAGGGCCGCCAGATGAACAAGACGGTTTACCTAGGTACGAATTAGTTAGTTTCCTTGTCAGTGCAAGCGGCCAGAACTGGTCATGGAGGCAGGTGCAGCTGTGCGACATGGAACGGGAGGGGACCCCTGTCGGTCACAGCCGTCACGGTCAGTTGTGGCCTTGAGGTGGCTGTCATACTAATTCGAGGCCGCAAATGCAGCACCTGGTGATGGTGGTGGCATGAGACTTGCGAGAGCTGCTTCTCTGCCTGCTAAAGTGTGTGCTAGAGGCAACACTTTGGCCTTGATGTTTTAGTGGCCGCCAGGTACTTTGTTAGCTGGCCGCCCACCAGTGACCACTGCGGGTTTGCGCCCCTCGACAGCTAAAAGGCCGCCTAAACCGCCTCTAATAAAGCTTCTTCGCAGCAGAGGCCACCTGCGGCCACCAGATCCACCCTGTACAGCAACCCCACGCGAGCCTCATCAAGTGTCGGTGTCGTCGTCTCCCTATCGCGTCCTCTGTTTTACGTACAAACATGAAAGAAATAATTTAAAAACTACACTGACTGACCCTTGAGTACGCAGCTGCAACCATGAGCCCTGGGTGTCCCTTTTTGCCTCTCCTCGTCACTGTCGTACAATCCAATGCCAATGCTGTACATCAAAATGACGACACCCACCAAAGGCGGGCCGCTGCCTCTACCCGTGCGCCCTTGTGGCCGGCCAAGACCAGTCATGAGGGGGTAACTATTACCTATCGTACAAAGTATCCTGTTTCCATTTTGTCTTTTTTTTTTCTCCTCATCGGTTTCTCCGACGCGCTCATCCTGTCCTATCCTGTACACACTTTTTTCTCGTGCCCCTCCACCCTCTTACCAACCCCCACTATCAACCCAGAGTCGGCTACATCCAAGCCATTGTCGGTGAGCAGCATGGCCCTGACTGGCACGAACGCGCCTCTTGGTTTGGTTTATGCGGGATACCTACCTAGGGGTCCCCTTGGCTCCTCCCCTTGTACTCTGACCTGCATCTCGTGCATCCTCATCTGTAGCCCTGTCTGGAATTGTCAACACTGCTGCAATCTAGACTCGCATTGCAGTGTACAGTGTGCAGCGTGCAGCGTGCAGCGTGTGGCGCACTCTACCAGTTTCCAAGTCAGACACACATGAGCCTTCTTTTTCGCCCTCTTTTCCGCCCTCGATGAAGCGTTTCAGTCTGGTCAAACCGACCGACCGCCCCAACGCCCCTCGTCGATGGCTTGCCGCTTGCAACTTGCCTCCTCAAGCCCGGTGGAGAGCGGTCTGTCGCTGGCCTCGTCTCCACCGGCCGGTCCTTGGATGATCCGCTCTGCTGCTTCCATTGCCCCGCCATGGCTGACCTGAGAATCTCCCATGACCTGCCTCAAACACCTGCTGCCCGGTTTGCTGTTGTTGACGCAATTCAGTACGGCCGAAGCATTGCTCGCTTATTACCTGTCTGCTACAGATATCACTGCAACCATCATCAGATCCGCCCCAGCCGTTCCGCCATGTTCAGCTCTGCCATTCGACGTCTGCACACCTCGCGGCACCGCATGCCGGTCTGAGGTGATGACACGATTGGGAATGCAGCCGCCTTCCAGACTGGTAAATAGACTTTGCCTCATGGAGCATCACACCCAGAAGCGAGGCTACTTAGACTACCAGGCAAAGGGACGAGGTGCACGGCCGGCATCAATAGTCGCTCGACCTGCAGGTACCAGGCCAGCACACCCACCCCCGTTGTCTTCGATCCGCTGTTCTAGAAGGATGCCGTGGCGAATGAGGGCTTGAACTCTTTTTTGCTAGTTCCAGGCACGCGTCGTCGCCAGCCCGCAGAGCCAACTCCATCCAAGAGTTTTCAGCCGTGGACGCCTCGTCTTCGCGGTGGACCATTGCTTCGTTTCACCAGCTGGACTAGAAAAGCTCAACTATCGCAAAACCATGCCTATATACCTCTGCTGCACCAAGTATTCCTCGCTGCTGCGGCCCATGTGTGCACACCTTCAACTGCGAGACAACTACCTGCAAAGAGGCGGGGTCTTTCCGCGACCAGCAGAAATAGAAACAATCGCAAAACTTTTGTCAGGTAATTTATTCGCCCCTGCCGGCAAAAGTTTCTTCCAACCATAGATATTGATCGTATTCGGAGCTGCCACGATCTGGGCGACGAATGCCTGCCTGCGACAATGTTGTCTCCGCCCAGGCCTCATCTATGGTTTGTGGAGAGACGGCGATGAGTCCGTTGTCTGAGACATGTATAGCAATTACGATGAAGCGCGGCAAATGGTGGTCGCTGCACGCATTGGCCAATGTTCCCGAACTGTTTTCTACGACAGCCGGTGGTGTCTTATTTTTTTGCTTCTTCTGACAGCTCCGGGGCAGAACTCTTTTTTCGTCGCATCCTCCGTGGCGCGGTGTGGCTTGCCCGAGTCCAACATAGACTTGACTCAGTAATCTCCGCCGAGAAGCGTGTTCCGAAGTGCTTTTCCTTGTAGCGCGGCCCGCGAACGCGCGCGCGCACGCACATCGCTCTTTGCCTCTCCCACCTCCCGGAGCCCACAATCGGCGGTGGCGCCGGCCTCGCTTCAGCCATTGCCCACTATTGCCACGGCGGCGCGCCAGGTTACTATTACTGTACATGGCATTTCTCGTAATTCTCCCCTTGTGAGCGATGGGTGCGCCCGTCTCAATGCGCAAAACGTGTATACTGCCGTGGCTGCTGGTCCGTTGTCGGCCCCGGAGAAAAGAGCCGGCGTGGTCCTAGCTCTGGAGGTGCACCCATCTCTTGACATCGGCTTTTGCCCGTCTGGCACGAGCGGTGTACTGGCTGCAGTACGAAGACATGTCCATTTTGGGGGGGTGTTACCTTTTGGCTGGTTCGGGCAGTGGCTAGCTAACTAGTCTTAATGGCTTGACGCAATGGACGACATCGGCGACGACTTCAAATCATTGATACGCGGTCAATCGCGACAATAGCTTCTCGGCGGGACCCTTCTCTCGCGGTTCTCTATCAAGCTCCAAGCTTCAAGGCCAATGATTAATTAAGCAGGCATACCTCTCGCTCAAAGTCTACGAAGAACGATAGGATGATTCGGACAGGAACCGTTCCTTTTGGCGAGACAGTATTGCCTGACTTTAAGACCTTCAGCTTCAGGGGGGCTAGTTCTTGTCTCTCTCAGCCTCGAGACACGACGGTTTCGACTTGTCTCGCCAGTATTCGAACCGGCTAGACCGCCTCGCTAGCCATGCTTCGCCATAAAAAGAGACCGAGCGAGCCTGAGACCGAGCGAGCGACTCAATCGACTGCCGTGATCAAATATGACGTGTTGTATTGTACCTTGATGCAGAAAAGGTCATCTAGCCTGTGAGCGACGCTGCAAAATAAAAAGCACAACCCAGTATGCATTTTGTCAGACACCCTCCTCCCAAATGCCCCATCCCCCCCGTTCAACCGTTTCTCTTCCACCAGTATATAACCAACATCGTATCTCCGCCTCATGACCTCCGCATGCTGCCAATGATGCCGCGCTGCGTCTCGCGGTCCCGCGCGCCGTCGCTGAGGCTGCCGACGCTGCGAAGGTCGCCGACCACGTCCTTGGCCTTGCCAAAGTAGACTTCCTGCAGCAGGTTGCGCATCTTGAGCTCCATGTCCTCGACCAGCCGGCCCACGTTGGCAATGTGGCTCTCGTCCGTGTCGACCGGCAGGTCCTGCTCGACCTGGCGCGTCATGTTGCCCGAGAGGTCGAGGTCGCCGAGCGCGGTGGTGGCGGTCGCGGCGGTCGCGAGGGAGAGAATGACGGTCGAGGTCAGCTTGTAGTGCGTGGTACGGCCTCGTTCAATCGCCTCGAAGACGTGGATCGAGTCCCAGACGCCGTCGGAGGAACCGCCGGGCGGTGAGGCTGGATTTTGGTATCACAGTTAGCAGTAGTACACGACGGAACGTGGGGAGGCAATCGGGAAGGGGAGGCTATACACTTCTTGAGCAGAACCACACCGGCAAAGCCGTCGTCCAGGTTCCAGAAATACACACTGCTCACGCCGCCCTCGTAGTACAGCTCGCGGTAGACGTCAAACGCCTCGTTGGCCTTGATCTCCATCTTGCGGACCCTCTCGCTCGGAATGGCGCCCTCGCCCGCGCCCTCGCTGCCCCCGGCGCCGACGCCCCCTGCGCTGCCGCCACCCCCAGCACCACCAGCCGCCTCATCCAGTGGCGGGTCAAACTGGTTAGACCAGGGCGAGCGGTAGCTGTCGCCGTCGCGGTTGTAGTCGCACAGGAGGTAGTCGCGGCCCGTCTGCTTGCAGCGGCGCGCCGTCAACGGCTGGTCCACCGACGACAGAAGGTCCTCGGTCAGGTCCGGCGCGAGCGCGATGATGGCGGCGAGGTGCGCCGACGTGTGCTTGGGGTTAAGCCGGCGGAGGAGGTCCCTTTCGTGCCAGGGTTAGCGTGTGGGAGGGCAACGAGGAGGAGCCGGGTGTGGCGTGGGGGACATCTTACAGGGCTGAATCGAAAGGATCGACTTCCGCCATTGTGGAAGAGGAGTCGTGTGTTGTCTGTATATGGACGAAGTTGGGATGCGGAAGGTAGTGGTTTGACGACTGGGGCTGTTTTTGGTTTGAGGGGTGAGAGCTGGCCGAGGGTGGGGCAGGTTGGTGGAATGTGCCCCGCGCTCGTCCCGAAGGTGACGTACTGTCGCGGCACGGATCGTTGGTGCCTCACTAGCACATATGTTGACAAGACCATCACGAAGCTTAAAAGGAAATGAACAAATTTCCTTAAATTCAGGGTATTCAGCTCATTTCAGCTCCGTACTCTCCCAACGCCGAAAAAAAAAGATGAAATTTTCCCCATATTGCCGCTTTTTAAAACCCATTCTGTGTTGCTGTTCCAACAAATATCCTTTTGGCCGTACAAAGCAGACTACCCTTCGAAACCCAACATGCACTGTCATTCAAACCCCACCATGATCGAATGGACAGGGTCATTCTTTATTCAATTGTATGACTGCAAATCAAGCAGTGCGCAGGTTCGGTCCACGATGGGCTCCCCCCGCTTACGCCTTGCCGGAGATCCTTGATCTCCCAGAGCATAGGCCCATCGCTCATGCGTAAGTCCGCCGCAAACAGCGCCAGCCATGGCTGTGCACCGCCGCCAATGGATGCTCGCCTCTTGGCAGTCTTTTTTCCCGCGAGGACCTTGAGCGGCCTCTCGGGCAACGTGAGCAACATGGGGGTAGCCGGGGCTGTCGGGGTGGCGGCCGGGCCAGCGGCCGGGTTGGGCGTGTCCTCGTCGGACAACTGCTTCACCACGGCGTCGGTGTGGGTGTCGCCGTGGACAGCAATCATGGCGCGCGGCTGCCGCTCGTCCTCGCCCTTGGGCGGGCTGAGCGGTGCCTGGGGCGATTCCCGCTTGAAGGCTTCGCGCTCCTCCTTCTTAATCGCTGGTTCGGGGATGTGCGGTCGGTCGGTACCAAGGCGGCCGTAGACTCGCTTGAGCGCATCTTGGCGCAGGCACTCGATATGCATCCATTTTCCGCAGTCGCCATTGGTACATCCGACGAGGGTCTTGTCGGGGTTCGCAGGCATCTGGCAGCGGCACAGGAGATCGATGGGCTGGGATGCTGTTAGTGGCGCACGCACTACCGTGGGATCAGCGAACGTACTGAAACTTGCAGTGTTTGACACTCAAATGCTTGCCGCCAGTACATGGCATCTTGTATTTCTTCCTCGTCTGATTCGATCCACTGATTAACCTTGGCATGCTGGACAACGCTCACGACGTTGATGATATCCACTAGTGTCGGTTAGCCTTTGTTGGTGGCAGAAACCAACGGAACTTACTATGATTGGATGCAATGAGCTCATTGATTCCATGGTGTGGCTGGCGACCGGCGGGCGTTTTTTTGCCCGACATGGTGGCGGCAGGCAGCTCGTCCGGCGAGTACATCCAAAACACCCGGGCATAGACGTGGTGCTCGTCCGAGGCTCTGATTTCCAGGATGCGAGCGACCCAAAAGTCGCCCGGCCCGACCTGGTGCTTGGGTATCTTGCCCGACTTTTGGCGTTCGATGGCGTCGTCGTTGGCCACAAAGATAAATTGGTCGCAAAAGTACTTGGTGCCGTTTACTGCGGGTGGGGTTGGGGGTCGGGTCAGTCTACCGGTTGCACGGGAGGGGAACGATGGACCGTCCTGCGCCCAAAGGCACAACGGCTGGACAGAGAGAGACTTACAGACAAAGCTCATGTATTTGGTCATTTCCATCCACCGCTTGCGCGGGTCCACGTGGTAGTGAATGTCCATGGTCTCGCGCAAGCGAAACTTGCCGACCGGCTCAAACGGCGCGAGTTGAAAAAAAGGCTTCTTGTCATCCTCAGCAGCGCCCTCAGACTTGCGGCGCTTAGCAGCCTTGGGGTCCTTGCAGCTGCGCGCAACCGGTGTTGGCGCTATGGTGACTTCAAAAGGACAGTCGGCACGCCTTTCCTCGACGTTTGCGCGCGAGCGCTTCTTTGGCTTGGTGCTCATGGCCGTAGCGGGGGGGGGCGCAGAGTTCGCTCTATCGATGAGTTGAGCCTCGCGGGGGGACGCAAATAGATGTATGTATATATAATCGATCGTCGCTTAGTCGAGTGTCGTTTCACGAGTCAAGAAGTAAAAGAAAAAAACACGTATCGCGCCACAGAAAACGGCGTCGCGCGGCGACCTGCCAGCCTAGAGCTGCCCAAAGTGGTGGACGTGTGGGATAAGAAGGCGGAAAGCCAGTACAATCAGCACTTCGCCCCCGCACGGAAATGAGAACCGGTGCATGAAAAAGCAGAAACAAGCTTGGACGGCCCGTTGATGCGCGGCCGGACAGTCAGCGCCAGGAGTACCAGGTGGGAAAGCTGACGGATGTTAAGAAGAAGCAAGGTAACTTTCACGGATGGAGACCTAAAAATCGGCGGATGGAGAAGCTGGCGCAGCTCCAACAGCTGTGGCGCCAGTAGTGGCTGCTGTCACGCTTTGCAGTTGATTCTTCATATAACGAGTTGATTAAGACAAGGTAAGAAACCGGTCAGCCCAGGAGAGGGGCAACCCTTATAGGGAGGGGGTCTACCACTCTCTATGGGTACCTGTGTGCTGCTTTACCCCTATTATCCCCGAACTCGTATATTGGCTATAATATCCCCAATTTGTACACTCCTCTAGCTTCATTCCTCTGACTTTTAAAGCTCAAAGACACTATGACGATACCTAGAATACAAATTCCTAGTGTTTCTACCGTACCTAGAAGCACCCCAATGGGAAAAATAACACAACATGCGTAGGAAATTAACCCCTTTAGCGTAGCGCTTCCAAAACCCACTATTTAGCCATCCGCAATTCCCGCGTTTTAGTAATAATAGTGTTTATTCTATCTACTAAGCTGAATTTGGATTGGCTCTACTATGCTTGCTCTGCTATGCTTGCTTTGTTATGCCTGCTTTACTATGCCTATACTACTATGTTTGCTATATCTATTTAAAAGGAGAAGAGGTCTAAACTCGTCTAGCTTCTCTCTAGAAGACTTTATTAGTGAATTCTTGAAGATAATATATTAATATAGTAATAAATTAAAAGTATGCTAACTTAGATATAGAAGAATATATCGCTTTAAAGACAATTTGACTATATAGATAACAATTCTATAATAAGCTATAATTTTAAAGTGGACCTCTTATCAATAAAATGCTACTATATAGGTCACTACTACATTATCTTTTAGAGATAAAGAATCAGGCGGAGTATTTTAAAGCGCTTCGAAGGCCGTCACCACCTCCTGTCTTTGTTCCCCAGAGTCCGGAAATCGGTCCCATAAAAAAGTCGAGCCTTGAAGACGAAGATAGTCTACGATTTCTTCTCCCCGCAGGGAGTTGGTGATACAGAAGATGTGGGGGGAGATAGCGGACGGTTTTCGTCCCACATAGGTGATATGTTTGATGAAGAGCGCTACAAAGCTGCGCGCGAACTTGGTGCCGGTCGATTTTCTACGGTTTGGCTTGCGCAAGATGAGCAGGAAAACAACCGGGTGGCTCTGGAGATTATGGACGCTGAGTATTCCATGCCTGCTGCCGATAAGAGTTTTCTCGGCCGGTTCTCTCGGCCGTGCAATGCTGCTCATCAGTGGAACAGAGCGTGTGGCAGTTCAGCGCCGACAGTTTACCTTCGACGGTCCAAATGGCCGTCATTTATGTCTTATTCTACTGGTTCTTGGTCCTTCAATGTTTGAGTTGTCATACTACCTCAATTATCGGTTTACATCGTGGCTCGCTTGAAGAGCTGCGTATTTTGTTTTGAGAGTAGTAGTTGTGATGCCACGCATGGAACCGCCTGCGGGGCTGATGAAATGCAGTTGCTCCTAGATACAGCTCGCGGGCTCGCAGTTTTGGCATTCAGGTGTGGAGTTTCCAATTTCATTATATTTTCAGCGACGCCTCAAATTCATTATTACATCCCTGTTCTCTTATACAAAACAAAATGACGTCTCTAGCGTCTTGCCGTCTCTTCCGAATCCGGCCCCTCGTCATGTCTGAGCATAGCGCGTCTCTCCTCCTCCTCTCCCTCCTCTTGGTGCGTGTCCGCCACGACTCCCTCCAGTGTTTCCGCCACCTTGCTACCATCTAGCTTGCCGCGCTCGACATTAATCATGTAGATCAGGGGCGCCGGCAACCCAACCATCGCGCCCAAGAACCAAAAAGCCGGACGGATGCTGCCCGTCTTGTCGATGATGCGTCCCACAATCGCAGGCCCGAACACGCTGGACCCCTTGTCCGTAATAGCATATAGCGCGTAAAAGGCTGCCTCAAATCCGGGGGGGATCAGCTCGCCGTAGAGGGAACGGCAGTAGGCGCCAAGACCGCCGAGCACAAGGCCGTAAACGGCCGCAAGAGGGTACATTTCCCACGGCTGCTGCAGACCCAGCACACCCCAGCGCTGGATGAAGGGCAGATAGCCCATCAGCCCGTAGAGGGGTATGAGCTCAAAGAGGCCGATGCAGACAAGGATAGTCTGGTGCGGCTTGAGGCCAAAAAAGTTGGAGATCCAGGACCAGCCAAAGGCGCCGAAGACACCCGACGCTGTCGAAATGACATTGATCATGCCCAAGGCCCATGGCTTCATATGAAGCTGCGTTTTGGCAAAGAGGATAGCTGTGGAACTTGTCGTGGCAATGGCATCAGAGAGAAGAAACCAACCGGCCAAGAAGAGCATGATATCCATCAGTCGGCGCGCCACGCGCACCGTCTTGATAAGAGACTTCCACGAGTATACAAAATAGGATATCCAAGAGATGCCCTCGGTGCGCCCATTGATGGTAAGCGGGGGGCCAGGTCGTGGGCGAAGCCACAGCGCTGCTGGGATGGTGAAGATGGCCCACCAGCAGCCAACAACGAATAAAGCCACCCGCTGTGACCATGTCGTATTTTTCATGGCAATAATGATTCCAATAGCGACGCATTGAACAAATAAAGCTGCAATATAGCCGGTACCGATTCCTTTCGAAGAGATGCTAGTGGACAGCTTGAGCTCTTGGGAAGTAAGATCGGCGTGTGGCAGACCAAGCTTTGATCCATTTTCCATTGCGGCTTCGTCGGGGAGCAGCGCAGAGGTCGAGTTGTTCAAGTTGTCGACAGAGTTCCGCCGTGGCTGCGAGTTCAAAACTGAATCGCCAAAATTATGTGCGGCGGGCACTTTCGCAGCAAGTAGCGTGGGATGATTGCGAACCAGTAGCGGTAAAAACGAGTTGAGCAGGACAAAAGATGCCCCAAAAGCGGTGTTTGAAATGATGGTGAGTATGGCGCCGAGAATGTACACCGACTTGTTGACGAAGATGAAGCCCATGACGCAAAAACTACCGATCCAAGCAAAGGCCAAAAGCATCTTCTTTCGATAGCTGCCGTGATCGGCGGCGCCGCTGATGCTGACCACCAGGAGGGCTTGGGCTAGGACGCTGACGGAAAAAGTGTACATGGCGAAGCTGGCCGTGTTGATGGGGATGCCGAGGACGTAGACGACACACTGGCCGTCGTCTTCGTTTCTGCTGTCGCTGCTCCCACAGGGTACGGTAGGATCGGACATGAGGACACCATTTTCACGAGCGAGCGATTCCAGCAGAATGGGGATAAATGACCCTGCATCGGTCAGAATACGGCAAGAGAAAAAAATCTCTCAAAAGGGAGCAAGCATACCTATTCCGCAAATAACATACGTCTCCGCGGCAAAAGCATACATGTACCAGCCTTTGATCTCCTTGGGGCTGGTCGGCCGGGCGTCGTGCCCGCCGTAGTGGGGAACAGCGCTGCCCGGTGGCGCGAGATGGTCGTCGCTGTCGTCGGAACTCATGCTTCCGTCAGAGGACAAGCGCTCATCGTCTGCTTCAAATAAGGTGGCAAAGGAGGCGCGGGAGTGCTTCTCGAGTCGACAAGGTTGGGGCAAGACGCGTTTGGCGACGGCGCCGTGAGATCCGGGGTCGGTGCCGCCTACACGTGATTCACTGATTGGTGGGCGCTATGTTGCCTGGAGCGGTGCTGGTGTCGCCACGGTTCAGCTAGCGGGAATGGGATTAGGTCATTAATGAATAAATAATCAATATATAACAATTAATATATTTAAGTATTCTAGTCTTTATATAATCAGTATAGTTATAAGCTACGATTATTATAATTCGTATATTCTATATCAATACTTAATGTTATAAGCTTACCTAGTTGTTAGTGATGTGTCGGTACGTGTGGCCACAATGAGGTGCAACCAAGCAACATTATTGTCACGAATCTAGATAGATATCTCTCCAGAAAATGTATCTTTCAAAATTCTAGAAAAACTATCAATATATCCTTCCGCCATTTCTTGCTTTTTCCCAAGTACTTCAAAAGCTATTACCTATTTTAAAGATAGTTGGAAGGTACGTTTCTTAGGTCCTGTGGTTGTAGCCCTTCTTTAGGCACCTACAAAAATTTGCTAGGCCGCTATTTCTGCCATAGAAATTCGCTAGCTAATAACTTAAAAGCAAATCGCTATTACTATATAAACATATAAGCAGCAACCTTTTAACAGCTATATAAATAGCTCCGCGAGACGCCTATTAGCTAGCTATATATGTCTTGCCTATTGCGTAAGAGTAAGTAAATAGAGATATAAGAAGGAAGTGATAAGGAGGAAGGTGCCTGTTAGGATAACAGCATCACTGACGAAGTTCCCAAAATTTACCCTTCTTTTCCAACAAATCTGAGGGACGGCCCATCTCTGCTACCTGTCCGTGATCCATTACGACAATCAGGTCCGAATCTATGATGGTATCGATCTTGTGTGCCACCGAGAGAATAAGTCTCCCCTTGAAAACTTCTCGGATTAGCTCATGGACCACCCGCCCCGTATCCTCGTCGAAACCGCTCGTAGGCTCGTCCAAGATGACAATACTTCCTGGCTGAAGCAGAGCGCGACCGATGCATAACAGACGCCGCTGGCTCTCCGTCAAGGAAACAGAGCCGATACTGGCATCCAAGCCGCCGCGCTCGTGGATGCGATCCCATATCTGCAGCTGCTCGAGCACTGACACGATAGCTTCGCCCGTGCAAGGAGAATGAGAACCAAGAAGAAGATTCTCGCGAATCGTTCCAGCTATAAGGAACGGCTGTTGAGGGATCGTGACAATGGCGGCTTGCAGCTTGTCTTTAGAAATGGCTGTCATGTCTTGACCGTCGATGGAGATAGTGCCGCAGGTGATGTTGACAAGCGAAAACAAACAGGACAAGAGCGTACTTTTACCGCTTCCAGTGCGCCCACAAATGCCAACTCTCTGTCCTCGCTTAAGATGAAGCGTCACATTTTTCAAGACTGGTTCTTTCTCATCGCCGTAGGATGCAGAGACGTTCTGAAACTCGACCGTGTTTGTCAGCAGCTCTTGTCCACGCGATTGATCTTGCACCACTTTGGGTGGTTGATGGTCCGGATTTGTGACAAAGTCCTTTGTTCGCGAGATTGCGCCGAGCGAGGTTTCAAGTTGCATCCAATTAGTAATAAGCTGGGCCAGTGTCGTGTTGAAGGATAAGAGATTGACGAGTGCAACCCCCACCGAGCCGGATGTGCTCTTGTTCGTAAAAAAAAGGACAAGCGCCGTCAACAGAGTGGCCAGCGCAGCGACGAGCAGGTCTAAGACGACCTGCAGCCACTGCTGCGCACTATAAAGTGCGTAAAATGGCTTCTGAGATAGGTCCAGCAGCTCTTCATTCATCTTGGTAAACCTTTCCTGCCACCGGAAGGCGCGGATGGTGGCGCCGCCATCGATGGTCTGCAAGAAGTGGTCATACAATGGTGCCTTGGCCTCGAGGCCGAGAAGTCGAATCTGGCGGGAAGTCCGCAGGTAGAACGATAATATGGCATAAAGAACTGCGATGCAGAAGGGAATGACAACGGACATGTAGCCCGAGCCGATGGCAATCATAACTCCCTGCGCGATGCAAGTGAGAAAGGTCTGTAGCGTTATTCCAAAAGCGACAGGAAGCTGCATGTCCACGAGGGACATATCTTGGCTGAATCTGTTGATCAAACTGCCAACTTCAATCTGCACAAGCTGCACCCAAGGCATGTTCATAACGACGTCGAGGAGCAGCCTGTGAAGCTTGATGGCTGACTTTGGAACGGCCCAGACAAAGAAATAACTACACTGATTAGCAACAGCAAAGTGCTTAAAGGCTCATGAGGTACACACCCAATGTATAAGCCAATAAATATTACACTTGCAACAGACACGACAGTGTACGTAACAAGGTAAGTAACACCCTTTTCTGGCACTGAGCTCGACCACCACGAGAGCAAAATTTGCGGAAATACCAGACTCGTGACGTAAAGAATAGCAAATCCCAGGATGAGAACAAACGGCAATCGTCCGATGGAATCTATGTAATACCCGTAAAGAGTCACGTCGCCGCTGCTGCGACTTTTCGCAGCTGCTGGGGATGCGCGGGTGTTGGTGACTCTTGGACGTGCGGGTTCCTTTTGTGAGACAAATGTTGGCTCTTCCCAAGTGTTTTCTGTACGGTCCTTGGGAGCGTCTAACTTTTGGATGAAGTCGCACATTTCAACAATTTCGGAGTAGCTTCCCTGCGCATCAATATCGCCGTTGTCTGACAGGACAATGGCCTTGTCCGCGTATTGAAGCTGATCAGCTATGGATCGTTAGTGATCTGAAGCACAAGGCAGTCCGTAGTCATGCAGAATTACCAGTAACTGTCACCATAATGACCCCAGCTCCGAGCTGTTTAATGACACCAGCAGAACCGAGCAAACGTTGAATAATGCGACTGGCTGTGATGATGTCGAGAGCACTGAATATATCATCAAGAAGAAGAAGCTCAGGCTTTGCAAACACCGCCCGTGCCAGAGCCTGTGATACTATTAATATTTTGTATCTCAACCGGTATGCAGTTCTTACCACTCGCTGCTTCTGTCCGCCAGAAAGTTGCAGCCCCGATGTGCCCACAACAGTCTCAAGTCCATCGGGCAGACATTCCATGTCCACAACCAAGTCGCACGAATACAAAACCCTCTCAAGCCACATAGTATCGACATGCGCATCCCCAACAATGTTGCTTTCAATTGTGCCGTTGAAAATGTATGGCATCTGTTGACAGTAGGCTACAGATGCGGCCTGCACCGACACTTGACCTCTGACGCACGAGACCTCGCCCAAAATGGCTTTCAGCAGCGTTGACTTACCACAGCTGAGAGGGCCTGTGATAGCAACAACCTCTGAACGGTTTACAGTAAAGGTCAAGTCGTTGAGCTGGCACTCGCCAACCCCATACCAGAACGAGCCACCTTGAACACTGACCAGCTCAATTCCCGGCATGGTAGTGAGCTCCGTTGCTGGCTCACTGACAACGACTGTGGGTTGGCATGATGCCTCATCTCGCTCCGCTCCTGAAAGAAGGTATCCTTGAATCCTGTCGAATGAGCCCATGGCGGATGTGAACTTTGTGAGCGCAATAGACAAGAGCGTGACGGAGCTTGTGAGGAGAGATATCAGAGAGAGAGATGTGAAAATAGCCTCTGGTCTCGGGATTTCCGTGCGAAGATTCATGCGCGTAGCCGTGTATAGGATGATAGTTGCAGCCGGCGCAATCGACGTGGCCGCAGCGTTCAAAACATTAACCGCAACGATGAGAAGACGGAAAGGCTTTGACGCATCTAATTCGAGCTTTCGAAACTGGTGCGTTTTTTCCGTGATTGTCGCCTCTATTCCGAGCATTTTGACTTGGTGCATGACCTTTAGAATAGTCGCGGTAAAGTTGACACGCTCTTGCACAGCTTGAACCCATAAGCTCTGCTTCTCTCTCATGCGTGGCGCGATATACGAGGATGCGACTATGCATGCCGCGGCTACAACCAAGGCAGCAACGGATGGATAGCCGATACGCAGAATCAGCAGCGCAAAGGCAATGACGATCTCAATGCTGGCAGCCCACATCTCGTGAGCGTTCTGTATGCCAGTGACGATGCGATCGACATCAGTGCTCATGAACGTCAGTGCATCCGCATTGGAGCCGGTTTCGCTTTTTTCCTCGAGAGTTTGGGCGTATATCATTCCTACAAGGCTCCCACGCAAAATAGTCATCATTTGGATCGTTTCTCGCTTGTAGATAGCATTTAATGCTGCGAGCAGAACGTAGACGAGAAGCATAGCCCCTAGAAGACCATATTTGGTTCCCTCTTGATGCATGTCTGGCTCGGAGACATGCTCAATCAAGTCACTGAATAGGAACGGCTGAGCGTATTTGAGAGGTATCAATGTAGCCCTTGCTATGACGGCCCTGAGGACTGTCCATTTTGCGCTTGCGAAAGTGTGTCGCAGTAGAGCATGTTTTTGACCGTGTCTTGTTTCATCACCATTCCATCTTCGCTGCAAGTCGGAGGTGAGAGCCTTGGACGAGAGACTCTCGTCCAGGTTGTAAAGACCCTGCAGGCTTAGGTCGGAACGGAAGCCTTGAAAGAAAAGCCCATTGATCCACCAGTACACGGAGCGGTTCAAGATGCCGCTTCTGCACTCTGGGGAGGCCTTCTCGTATGCGGATGTGACGTACACGTCTTTTTGTTGTGCTTCGATAGCAAGTACCAGAGCTCTCAAGATCAACGATACAGTGGCAACAGTAGCAAGTGCAATGTTGAAAGGCTGCAGCAGCCAAAGCGTCCGCACCCGGGCAATTTCGAATACGGTAGTTGCCAGAAGGTAGAGGCAGATGAGGGTCGACGGTCGCACAGTGCGGTTGTGCTCATACTGTGATAGTGGAATCAGGATGATGGCACTGACAAAGGCAGCACTGGATGAGACGGTAGCTGACGGAGTCGCAGCGTCTCTGGCTGTGGCCCATGTAACCAGCGATGCAGTCTTGAGTGCCAATAGAAGGCTCGTGGCGACTAATTTCGCTTTCGCGAGACGTTGCGACTGGGTTTTGAGCACCTTGAATGAACGGTAAATCCAGAGCCAGCGCACGAAGCCGCCAAGGACAAAAAGTAGCTCTGGTATCAACGTGATAGCCCAGTGCTCAAAGGTGAGAGTAAAGTCGAATTGTCTGCGACAAGGAGCTACTCGCGGCCCAAACAAGCCGTCCAAGGCGATAGTGCAGTCCATACTAGTATGAAGCATTCTCTTGAAATGTGTGTAAAGCGAAATCTGTGAAAAGCGGTGTGTTGTGATGTATTGTTCTAAGTTTCTTCAGCCGCTGGCGTAGTTGCTTTGTTTTACTCCAACAGAACTGAGGTACACGAAAGCTGCGAGAGAGGGGCAGGCGACGAGCGGACGGGGGGAGGCCTGGGGGTCTTGATGGTCTGCTGCTTGCAACTGAGGCTGCGTGGCTGCTTCAAGCACTTTTGCGATTCGCACGAGGTGGCGGGCAAGGCTGCGTGGCTGCCGCAGTATTGCGGCCTGGCCAGACGGACTAATGCAGCAACATAGCAGTAAGGTGCTATGGCGCGACGACGCCCTGGGCTTTTCATGATTTTGGAATGTCCCAGGATCAATAGTAGCGTCGTTGACAGAGCTGTTGGCGGCTTTGCTGGCGGCGTTGTACAAACAGAAGTGTTGTAGAAAGTGTATAAATAATTGAGCTTCTGTGTACCTTAGCTGGCAGCTAGCTGGCCGTGGCCTAATTAGGTAGACCCCTAAATTACATAATAATAAGAGAACGCCTTACCAACAAGCCCCGTGACATGCAATTTATTTTTGGCCAAGCACCCTTGCCAAGCACCATGTAGAAATCCCCAACGGCCAGGCTACCTCTCACTTATCTTCTGGCACTGATTGTCATCGTCATGCTCTTGGAGGAAGCCGATTACATAAGGTACCCGTGTGCCTCATCGTCAACGATTACGGCTTCCGGCTCTTGGCCGACCAGTGGCAGAAGCGCGCAGACCCGAACCCGGCGGCGAAGCCCTTGGGGAAAGACAACCTGAGGATGACAGGACTCGACGCACATGGCGGGACTGCACGCAGTGTCGGGCTCTTGGAGGCGCTGTTGGACGGCGACACGCCGGCGGTGTACGACCCTGCGATGGACAGCGCCGAGTCAATGGGCGACTGGCTGTCGGTGCTTCTGAAATCAGCCGTTCAGGTGGCCCAGCCCATTGTGAGCGAAGTCGCCAGCAAATCCATCAGCCATGTCGCCAGCAAGCTTGCCCAAGGGGAGAGCGGGCGCCATGCCACAGCTGGATGCGATGGACCGCGAGATGGAGCGGCTCATAAAGCGCGCTCTCGTGGCGGACATTTTGCTTCAGTCCCTAGAGAGCATGACCAAGGCGGAGCTGCAGTCCCTTAGACTCGTGCCCGGTGTGGCGGAACAGGAGGGCTTCCTGGACATGATCAAAGTCAGTTCGTGATGGGTTTATGAGAGAGTGAACCCTGCCTACTACTTTTGTCTCCGAGCTTTTCGTTATACTTGTACTGCTCCTTGTCTTTGCAGTTGCTCTTGCTCACCACATCCATCTACATTTTTCTTGTTAGCTAGTGGTAGTAATAGCGAAATGTTTCCTTGATCTCCCCATTCTTCGCATCCTGCGCCAGCGCTGTCACAAAGTAATCCATCATTCTTCGTTCTCGGTCAAACTTCTTTTCAGTCCACTCTTTACAGTTCCCTCGCTGTACAAGTTGCGAGCAGTCGAAATCGATCCAGACGACCCTGTCACGGGGCTGCTGCCGAACAACCAGCATGTTCCGTGGATACGGGTCACCGTGAAGGAGGCCCATCTCGTGGAACTCGCAAAGTACTAGAGAGAATCGATTGAGATTATCCTCTGAGAAGTTGCCGATTCCGCATCTTTCCACATTCGGAATATATTCGAGAAGGACCGCATCGGGTGGAAGTAGGTCGTCTGCGAATTCGTACAGGTCCGGCCAAAGTGCGACATCGATGCGCTCTATCGTTCCGTAAAAATCGGGCACGACTCGTCTTTCACAAAATCCCTTTTCCTTGAGAAGTCGGTACGCCCTAGACTCCCGAAGAAATAAGCGAACTTCGACGTCGGGGTCATATGTTGAGCCATCATATTGCCCTTCATGCTAAGATTGTGTTACTTGTACATTCGACGAATTTGCGCTGTATTCTTACCACTTTCATAATACACAGTTTATCTCCTATTTTAACCTTGAAGACCGCCACACCTTCATCCTTGTCTCTCTTCAGCACCTCGAGAAACTCAACATCAGAGGGCTGCACATTGGTGAGCAGATCCGCCAAGCCGGAGGACGATTGAGGGGATGGCTGAGGGGATGGCTGAGTGGACGGCATCTGCAAGGTTGTCTATAATGAAGCGAAGCGAGCGCAAATGTGATGAGATGTGAACGAATATGGATCAGTTGCGAATGAGGCAGGTAACGGAAGTTGTAAACAAAGCGGCGGTTGTGAATCATGAAAGAAACGAGCACAGAGTATCACTGATGAGCTGAAGCGGACCCAGAGGGCAGTAAAAGTACGTCTACACATTAAAAACGGCAGAAAAAAAAACTTACTAGTAGACACATTACATATAACTACTATTAATGTCAAAAATCATATATAATTAAGGCGAAAATAAGTGTATTTAATATGTGTTTTAGAAATACTTATAGATCTATAAAATAGATATCTAGGGAATTAATATAAATAAACACAAAATAGTTCTATTAAATAAACAAATCTGTAAAAATAAAAAATAAGAAAATTATAGAATACCTATATAGTATTTACTGGGTCTATACTTATATAAGTACCTGTGATGTACACTTAGAGTCTCTAGACATTCTGACTCCGCTTGAGTTTACTGCTAAAGACTGACTCTTTTTTAATCAAGTTACCTAGGTAGATCCTGGGCAAGGGTCCTAGCAGTGGCTTTCCCATCATTTCAGGGTCTAAGGAACGTACGATGGCGCAAAAGGGAACATGCCGAGAAGGGAGGATCTACGGCGATATGAGCGCGCCACCACGGCATTGTGAGATGAACCGGAGGCACGGGTTCCAGTTGCTTTGTCTGATAGCCTTTGGGGTATCTATCTGGTCTCGGCTCATCATTCCCCCAGTTGTAGATCTGTTTAGCGCTACTTGGTGGAGTCTGGGCGGGAGCTTCGAGGCCATGGTGGTGAGATGCTTATGTATGCCACTTGCGGAACAAAAAGCGAAAGAGATGCAAACTGTGTGACTCGGTGAGCGCGTGCGCCATACTAGTCTCGAGCAGAACTGTTGGCAACTGGCTGCCAGCTCGCAGCATGTGTTGGTCAAGCAGAGCAGCCTGGGCATGAATGGCTGTACCCTGGAGCCTTTGGTGTCTTTCTTGTTACGGGCTTTAGAGCTGTGTTGGCCATTGCGACTGTTCTTGGCAACTTTTCAGCCTCGAGGATTATCAAGCCAGGAAACAAACCATCCTTTGTGGTCCTTGAGCATGTTGAGACGCCTGTTGGTAGTTTGTCTGCCGCGACGTTAATGAGCCCTATCATCACAACCAATAGCACCCCGAAATCACGAGCAAAAAAGAAAAAAAAACGGAACACGACACAAGTTGCAGCTAACTCTCTATGGGATATCTCGCGCGCGCCATCGTCCCGCCGCACCGCTCGCTCGCCCCTCCTTTACTTGAACGCGCCAAACAGCTTCCCCTTGAGCTTATCCGCCAAGCCCACCGGCGGCGGCGGCAGCTGCTCCTTGCCCGGGGGGGCGGCAGCGGCAGCGCCCTCCGGGTCCTTGTGCCCGTTCCCGTGGTGCTGGTGCGCGGCGCTCGTGTGCTCGTTGCCCGCGCCGCCCCGGCCCGTGTGGTAGTCGCCGGTGTCGGTGCTCTGCCGGACCGCCGCCTCGGGGATGATGTCACGATCCTTGCGGTCTGTCGGCGGATGGCCCTTGTCGCCAATGTTGCCGGCGCCTGAAGTAGGCATGTCAGAGGATGAACACCCAAAAAAAAAAAAAAAAAAAAAAAAAATACACCTGAAAAGGCGATTTTGTTCGCAAGGGCGGGAAAAAAAACGTACCGCCGCGACCGGCGCTGTAGGCTCCGTCGCCGTGGCTGCCAATGACGCCTGCGCGGACGACCTCGCCGTCGACGTAGTGGGTGTCGTCTGGGTTAATGTTGCCGGCGCCGCCGCGGCCGTGTGAAACTTCAGCAGTCATTGTTATACGCGGTGTCTTTTTTGCTTTTCTTTTTTCGCTCTAGAAAATTTCCTTTGTCGTTCTGTGGATGTTGTATAAGGAAAAGGTGACTGTGCAAAGAAGAAGAAAATAGGGCGACCCTGAAAGCTTATAAGTACTGTCGGCAATGTCGCGTCACTTCCATTTGGGGGCCTTCTTCCATACACAAGCATCGGCGCAAGAAAAAAAAAGCCAAGACGCCTCACCTTTTAATAACTGCTCATTCAGCTGCTTTCTGATAAGATAGTGACAAGCCTCCGTTTATCGCAGCCCATTCACAGCTGCGCGTGGCTTGCCCGCCGCGCGCAAAGATAAGGCTAGTGAGTTCGGCGCTGGGAGCTTATCGTCGCTGTGGTGGGGTGTTGGAGGAAGCCGAGCGAGCAATGTCGTCACATGCGATTCGCTATGGTACTAATACTATAGTTAACGAGGCTCTCAATTTGTCTTCAGGTTCGCCCGGTATGTATAGCCGTGCCCAGATGATGAATGCTGGTAGCCAAGCACCTCGTCCCCTCTCGCACCATGCAGGCCAGCAAGGTACTCGCGCTCACAAGGTAAAGCTGGCCCCGTTTTCCGAGGACAAAATGCATTGAATGGATTAAAAAGCGCCTACATCCCCAGCTTCCCTCCTCTCTATTCGTGTCTGTGTGTTTGTGTGCCAGAAAAGACTCCGTCGTGTCGTTACAAATCTCTGCCCCTGCTCCCCAGAATCTGGAAATCATTCCCATGTCATTTACTCATGCTTCATCATCACTCTAATTTTTTGTCTTTTGTTTTCTGGTTCACGCATGACCAGCTTTGCCAATCTGCAAAATCTCGCCCGTCAGCGCCTCATCGCCTCGGAGCACCGGCCACGACGCGCCGTCGGCCTTGACGAGGTTCAGCTCGAGCTTGGTCCCCAGGATCTTGTGCGTCGACTTGGCCGCATCAATGGCGCCGTAGAGCGGCACCTCGGCCGTGTACCGCTTGGGCGGGGTGTCGGTCGTGACAAGGTCCAGCGCGAGCGCCTTGTCCTTGAACTCAACCTTGGCCGTCTCCTTGTTGATCTTCTTGAGGAAAAAGGACGCAATGACGCTCGCTGGCGTCTGGTAAAAATCGTGTCTGCAGCTGCCATGTTAGCTCTGTCTGTACCTCTCCAGCAATGAAGCGGGGCAAACGGTGTGCAGTACCTGACCGTCTCCAGCTTCTCCTCGCCGCTGGCGGCGCCCTTGATCTTCTTGCCGCTGCCGATGAACAGGTGCCGGTCCTTGGTCGCGCAGCCCTCAATCTTCATAAACTGGTCAAACTCGAGCACGCGCCGCTTGCAGCAGCTGTAGCCCTTGCTGCCCTCGTGGAAGATGGGCACGCCCGGGTGGTGCACGCACGACTCGCCCGTCCGCGCCGCCGCCGCATTCTTCTTGTACTGCTGCCCGCAGGTGCGTCGGCGGCAGGTCGCGCCGTCGGCAATTTCGAGGCTAGGGTCGTCGTCGTCGGACTCGGGTGGCGGCGGCGGCGGTGAAGGCGCGGCCTGCGCGGTCGGAATGGGCGAGCGACGCGGTCCGGCGGTCAGCTCGGCAATCTTCTTGGCCAGCGCGGCGTCGTCCTCCTGGGGCTTCTTCTCCTCCACCGCAGGAGGCTTGTCGGTCGTCGAGTGCACGCCGACGGTGCAGGGCGGGATCGTCATGAACTCGTCAAATGTGAGGACGCGAGGCTTGCAGCACTTCCATCCTTTAATGGCGTTAGCGTCCTTGTACTTGCTATTGCGTTACATTCTTGGATGCGCAAGTTCGCCGCTTACCCTTCTGTCCTTCGTGGAAGATGGGCGGTCCTGGATGGTATTTGCACCCTTCAGTAATGTCGGTAAAGAGCTTGCCGCAGCCCTGGTGCACACATTTTCCCGCCATTGCGTGCGAGTCCTATGATATAAATACGCCGTCTGTAGATTTCCCAGCCCTAGTCTTTCCTCGCTCTCGGCAGCTGTTGTTTGTTTGACGTTGCTTCTCTGTTGAATGTATGTTGGAGGGGTGGGATCTTCTAGAACCAGGCTTGTTTTGCCGCCTTCGGAGCTTGCTTGCTTTGCTTCCTTTGGCTGCCACCGCCTGCCCGATTCAGTGCGGGGTTCAGGCGTGCCTTTTCCACCCGCGCTTCGTACTCGATTCAATTCAAAAGTTGCATGCATGTATAATGCCACCACATCATCTTGCGCTATTTTATGAAGGACGGTGACGTGGTGAGACCAAGTTCTTCTTTGCCTACCTCATCCGCTCTCCAGTTGGCTGGGCAATCCAATTGAGCAAAACTACAACCAGCAGCCTCGTTTCGACTCGTCCTCTAAATACAAGACACTTTTATTCTTGTCCTGTGTTGACGGGGCAACGTCTAACCCAGGATTCCCGGAGAAAAAGTTGACCGGCTTCAGGCCAACAGTCAGTTTCTCATTCGGCATCACCGGCCAGTCCTCGATACGCGGGTTGTGCGTCGATCCGAATGTGTGCCATATGACAATATCCTGGTCGCGGACCGACTCTGCGGTACCATGCTGCTTGCGCCGGACAATGGCCGAGGCCAGACCGTCACCACCATTCGATTGCATGGTGTACTTGCCCGCCGGAAAGTGATCGCCGTCTTACGAGCTTGAACCCAACGGGCGTTCCGGTAATGCCGTTGATTTTCTTCTCGTTGACGAATTTAAAAGTACGGTTCTTGGTGAAGTCGAGGTCGAAGCCGCCCTCTTCTTCAATCATCTTTTGCTCCGTCATGTATCCGATGCCGAATGGGTTGTGGATGGATGGGTCATCTATCGGGAGAGGGCAAGACTCTTCCACCACAAGGGAGTTTGCATGGCCATCAATAGCAGGATCGATGCGCAAGCAGAACAAGTGCTGGTGGTAAGGCGCCAGAACACCCGGTGCCACGACCGTGCCGTACGCAATCTTTTCCCTGACGTCAAGGTCTGTGGGAACAGTGGAAAGTATGCCCGTGGCTCGGATTTCGTAAACGATGGAAGCATCTTGCCCAAAGTGCCACGCAAAGATGTACTCGTAGTTGCTGACCGTGATGATGGTTTGCAGCACCAAGATGCGAGAGCGCGCGACGACGGGGTTCTTGGTGCGAAAGTTGGTGTGCTTCCACAAAATGCCGTCATCCTGCTCGTGACAGCACACGACATTCGGCATCTTCAAGGGCTCGCCACTAGGCGTGTTGTGGTGGGCGTTAAAATACTTGATGGTGCCGAGGCAATCGCACCCCAGCTGAAGATTGTTGGCGTTGATGCCTGCGCCGTCGTTGCCGAGGTCAAAGGCGGCCTTGCGGGCGTACGGCGCGCGAGGGTCGCCGTACGGGACAAACATCTCGCTCTGCGACAGGCGGTAGAAGAGGCTGCGGCCGTCATAGCGAGTGTCATGCAGCGTCAGGCCCTCGCGGTAGTTGAAGCCGACTCGGAAGCTCCATTTCTCCCAGCTGACGTGCTGGCCGTCTACCTGGAACGATGGGCCGTCGGGCTGGACGACCTGGTACGGCTTGGTGGTGGTACGGGGCGTCGGGCGCAATTCAGGATGGTACTCGCTCGAGGCTGTGGAATGCATCTTGCGGCGGTCGTATGGCCTCTTTTCGTCGTTAATTCTTTCGCTTGGCTTGGTAGGCAGGCGGTATATCTTGCAGACTTGCAGATTCTCTGAAACTTCGGCACAAATGTCGAGGGGATAGGCGTAGTAATTGGCGTCTGGGTTATCTAGAAGGCGCATATAAAACCAACACTAATGCGCCAGTTATAATTTGGTTCTACGATCTGGTCGCGATTATACTCACCATGGTCAGTCGCTCAGCCATGTCGTTCATGCCATCTGTCGCGTACGCCCAGGCTTCAACAACCACGGTCGCCTCGGGCGGTAAATTGAGTGTGAGAATCTCTGCTTGAACCCTCTCATCAGCGAGGCATGCTTTCTCAACAGCCTGCATATAACCCGAGTCAATGTAGGAGTGCTTGCCCTTGTGGTGCTGCTTCTTGACGACTTGGTCGCTGCAAAGATCCACAATGAGCTCAAATAGCTGATTTTCGTCCCGACTGCCCTTGACAATTACCTCAATGCGGGCATAGCGAGTCGGGACATGATCAATGGGCTGTTTTTGGTGTTCCTTTTCCAGGTAGAGAATCATCTCCTTCTTGGCCGGCTCGAGCAGCGTCACGACACGAAAGTTGGGCTCTTGGCCGCCAAAGTGAGGTCTGACAGCCTTTGACGCCTAAGAAAAAGATCAGAATTTCGTTGCTTAAACAAGGAAGGAAGAAATATGTGCATGCCCTGGAAATTTCCTCGGGCGTCAGAGGATCGAATGGGTGAGGGGATACGGTTGCCATTGTGCTGGATGGCAGGTAAGAGGCCCAATGATGATGCTCAGAACGACAGGTCAGAATTTGTAAGAATAAAGGGTTTGATATTACGGAAGCAACGGTAAAGAGCGATAGTATTCATGAAGTTGAAAAAGAAAAATATCCGAGGAAGGCTGGAGGTAGTTGTACTTGTTCCAAAGGCTAAATGAACTGGGGTATCATGTACCGGATAGGGCGCGCGGTCGCGCAACATGTGCTATGCCTTTAGAGGCAACCGACCCTCTTCTTTCCAGAGCATCGCTGCAATTAGCACCGGCGATTGCCTGCCAAGTTATATAGCACTGTGGTGGTAATGGGAAAGGGCGGCGAAAAGAGAGTCAGACGCGCCAGTTTCTGGTGAGCGTGGCTATTGCTGGACAACCGACATTGGTGGCAAATATGGCAATAATTAGGTGGTATTTTGACCAAATTATTCCACAACTCTGGCAGTACTCCTTTCATATTTTTTGAAGTCGATTGAGCTTGTTGAATGGACGGTTGCGGAGCTCGAGTTGCGACGGTCAAGTATACGCTACACGCCCAATTCCGAATCAAGTGTTCAGAGTGTAGCCAAAAACTCTCAAATATTGGAATCACTACACCACACCATGTTACCTGCGTATAGCGGCGAATGAGGGCAACGCATACGTCACTGGTCGCTTCAGTGAGAGTAGCAACCTGTGCTTAGAGGAGAGGCTTCCATGGACTCGATGGAGGGCTTCAGCCCCAAGGTAAGATTGGTGTGCACGCAATTTTTCCACTACCCTTACTAACTGCTCAATAGGCTACTTCTGGTTTCGATCATCCAGTTCATCTGTCTGGAGAAGCACTGGGCGGTCAGGGTCAAGGCTGGCGAGCCTCTTGTTAGCCCGCAATATGCGACGTTTTAAGCAGCCCCTTCGCGCAGTTGGTACTGCAGTGCCACGTCATTTTGCTTATTGATAAAGGTAATGAGGAGTAATAAAAGAACAATTCTGGGGCATATAAGGATGCTGGTTCGTCAGAAATCCGGTGCACGTCCGCAGCTGTTACACAAAGTGGCGTTGAAGCAGCCATCCGTTGCACCTTGCGCTTGGGGCTTGGAATGAGAAAATGCCAGCGCACCTCTAGCGCACCTACCATGTCCTTTTGGACAATGAACAGTGTTGTCATCTTGATCCTGGAGAACGGCGATCTCACCGTGTCAGTTGGCGTCCGCAGATCTTGCGGGGGTCCAACATCCACGGCGCAGCCACCAACGGAAGCCTTCCGCCATGACCGCACAAGCGACATGATCAGTGTAACACTGCGTCGATGAATGGTCAGACACTATCCGTCCTATTTAAAACAACGAGTACCCCGCGTGCCCATTGACGGATATCCCCGCGACGCTTACTTGACAAACCGTGCGTTGACCATGTCGGACAAAAGCAAAACGAGCCACCCCAGAGAGGAGGAGGAGGCGGCTACCTCTCATCAAGGCCCATGTCGGCCGAAACTCAAGGACCGCCATCTGTACATGATTGCCATGGGAGGTAAGCACGCCCCAGCGATACAAAGCGGCTGCCCTTTGCTAACATTGCGGCATCCATCCCCTGAGCAGGCTGCATCGGCACCGCCTTCCTCGTCGGCTCGGGCCGCACGCTCAGCCGCGGCGGTCCGGCGCTGACCCTCGCCGGCTTCGCGACGACCAGCCTCGTGGTGTGGGTTTCCGCGACGCTCCTGTGCGAGATGGCGGCGGCCCTGCCGGCGCTCGCCGGCGCCGGCGCGGACCTCTACGCCACGCGGCTGCTGTCCCGCACGCTGGGCTTCGCCCTCGGCTGGACCTACTGGTACGCGTACGCGGTGCTGGTCCCGTTCGAGGTGACGGCCGCCGCGCTCGTCGTCGGGTACTGGGCGCCGCCCGTGTCCGACGCCGTTTTTGTCACGGTCCTGCTCGTGGCGATTGCCGGCCTCAACTACCTGCCCGTCGCGCACGCCGGCGAGGCCGAGTTTGCCTTTTCAACCCTCAAGCTCGCCATGTTGACCGGGCTCGTCGTGCTAGCAGTCGTGGTGGCCGCTGGTGGCGGGCCGGATGGGGAGCCGGTGGGGTGGCGGTACTGGCGGGAGCCCGGCCCGGCGAACCCGTGGCTGGTGCCGGGCGCCGGCGGCGTGGTGGTGAGCTTTATTGGCGTTCTTGTGAATGCTATTTTGCCAGTTGAGTCTTTTGCCGAATGTCATCTAGCCCACGGTGCTGCTTTACTAACATCTTATTTCTTTTTCAAGCTCTCGTTTCTGGGCGAAATGATTGCGATATGCGGCGGCGAGACGACAAACCCGCGAAAAGCAATCCCGCGCGCCACCAAGGCCCTCCTCGTCCGCCTCGTGTGCTTCTCCATGCTGCCTATTTTCAGCGTGACGCTCATCTGCCCCTCCAATGCGGCGCAGCTGACGTCGGGCGGCGCCGGCGCCGGGTCCTCGCCCTTTGTCGTCGGCATCAAGACGGCCAGGATCCGCGTGCTTGACCACGTCGTCAATGCCGTCATCCTGTGCTCCGCGTGGTCCGCCGGCAACGTCTACATGTACATGGCGTCGCGCTCGCTGTACTCGCTCGCGCTGGCCGGCCACGCGCCGAGAGTGCTCGCCGCGCGCAACCGATGGGGCGTGCCGTACTGGGCGGTGACGGCCGGCGCGGCGCTCAGCCTGCTCGCGTACCTCAACGTGAGTGCCGGAGCGGGACGCGTCTTTGCCTGGCTGGTCAACATGCTCAACATGGCCGCGTTTTTCTCCTGGGTCCTGCTCTCGTGGGCCTATCTCCGGTTCCGCGCGGCGATGGCGGCGCAGGGCGTCGACCGCGCGGCGCTGCCGTATAGAGCGTGGTGCGGCAAGCCCGGCGCGTATCTGTGCATGTCGTACTTTACGGTGATTGGGATGCTGAACGGCTTCCAGGTCTTCTTTCCGGGGCAGTGGAGCGCGTCGGACTTTTTTACGGCGTACGTGGGCACCGTCTTGTTCGCCGTCTTGTATGTCGGGCACAAGTGCACGGCAGGGCGGGGAGAGGCGTGGATTATCCCGGCCGGCGAGATTGATCTGGTTTCTGCACTCGAGGACGTGGCTGTTGAGGAAATGGCTGCCGCAGAGGCCTCAGATTCGAGATGCAGCAGCGACAACATGACGACAGGGAAACAAGGGTAGTCTAAAGGTCATTCTTATGTTGAACAGTGTAGATGTACAGTACTACTTGCTCCTCTACCCAGATTTGACACGAGCTCCTGTGTCATCCCACTTTACATCTATTGGCTCATGGTTTCCTGAAAATCTCTGGCCGCCGAACCACAGCTCGAAGCGTAGATCAGCTGGCGCGACAATGACGCGGATTTCAAACTCGCAAATGTAGAACTTGTGACCCCGGGTGAAGCAGGTGCCTCTTTTTTGCTTGAGGACCAATTGGTGCTGTTGGACGCCTTGCAGATTGCTCTTGACGCGGCAAAGCCTCGTGACGCCGGCTTTGGAACAAACAAGTCAGCCAGATGCTCCCTCCTCTGATGCTCATTTCAATCCATCCATACCTTGTTTCAAACTGCTGGGCAGGAATGACGGCTCGTTATGGGAAATGACAATGTCGGCGTTCCATGATCGCGTCGTGTCGCGCTCGGCCAGGTGAAACTCGAATTTGCGAATCAGCGGATCGTTCGGGTTCACTGTGTCGCCCTACAGTCTGTTAATGGTGAAGAAATGTTCGCTTCGAGGCGAATACACGCACCTTTCGTATCATCCACTGGACCTGGTCGACGGCCCATCGCTTGCTCGCGTCAAAGGGGTCCTGCACAACGTCCTGGTCAAAGTGCTTGGCCGGCGAGTACACCTCCTTGACGATGACGCCGTAGCTCGCGCGCGCCACCCTCGTTGCGAGCACCGACAGGTTTCCCATGTCGGTGCGCTGCTGGTGGTCGAGCAGCAGGCCGCGCACGACGACCAGCTGCGGATCCTGGCACGGGATCACGACGGCGTTGGTCGCGTTCGGATGGGGGAAGCTGGTGAGCTGCTGCTGGAGTCTTTGTCGGACATATGCGGAGCTTCCTAGCCCTCCGGAGAGGATAACAAACTCCTGGAAGACGAGTGTTAGTGCGCTGGGAGGATGGGGGGGGAGTGTCGGTGCAACATGCCACTTGGTCAGAGGATCCATTCTCTTGGAGCCAGTCCAGCTGCTCCGTGGTTTGTTTTATCACGCCCTCTATCTGGGTATCAAACAGAGCTTGAATCTCCAACCTGACAATGTCCATCAGTACAAAAGCCCACATGGCACCTTCTGGACGCACTTACATGGAAAACACCATGCGCCCATTTTCAATACCCAGTCCCGCATGGTTAAAGTCGTGCGACACGCCCTCCATCTGGATCTTGAACCTGGGCTGCATGTACACTTTCTCGCCAAACTTGTGCTTGACGGTGCGGAAGTAGTGGCCCTGGGCCATACGTAACCCGAGGCTGGCCGGCAGCCGGTCCCGCACGTCGGGCCAGGTGATGAGGCGGTGCTCGACGAGGCGGACAAAGGCGCGGTCGATGAGCGCGGAGCCGATGCCGACGCCCTTGACGGCGGCGAGCTGGGCCATCTGTGGACAGTCGGCGTCGACGGAGGTGACGCGCATGAGCGACAGGTCGGTGGTGCCGCCGCCGGCGTCGACGGTCAGGAACAGGCTGCCTGGGCGGAAGCGCAGCGCGCTCGTCTTGAGCGTCGCGACGGCGGCGGCCTCGGCCTCGGTCAGGTCAATCTGGGCCGAGTGGCGCGGGCCCTCGACGCCGAAGCCCGCGCGGCGGATCACGCCCTTGAAGGCGTTGATGGTCTCCATGCGCGTCCACGTCGTCGGCACGCTGAAGAGGAAATCCACGGCCGAGCCCGCCCAGCCGCCGGCCACGCGCCCCAGCCCGACCTGCATCTCCACGGAGCGCTTCACGTGCCGGTACACCTCGCCGAGGAAGTCGGCGGCGTACTGCTGCGCCTCCTCGGTCGTCTTGGGCGCCTGCGCCACGCCCTGCTCCTGCGCGGTGACGAGGTTCTCCGAGTCGACGAACATTTTAAAGAACTCGCGGCGCGTCTTGGTGGCGACGGCGGCTTGCTGGTGGTCGCCGTCGGTCTGGTACTCCAGGTCCTCGTCGTCGGCGCACAGGTAGCCCCAGGAGGAGAGCGTGCCGTCTGGATTGTACATGAGCTTGGTCGGGACTTTGCGCTCGCCCCGGTCCGCGCTGCCGGGCCAGTCATTGATGACCTGGACGGGCGTGCGTGGCGAGCGCCATCCGACACCTTGGATCGGGGTTAGACGTGGACAGCGTAGAGAAGGGCAGACAAGAAAAATACCTGTAAACGTGGTGCCAAAGTCGACGGACACTATGATATCCGGCTGCGACGACATGGTTCAGCACTGAGACGGCACATCAAGGTCTCTTCTGCATGCTGGTTTAAGAGTTGACGGTACAGGTTAGTTACTTGGTGCAGAGCATGGGAGGAGCAGTCTTGGAGCGTACTCGGCGGAGTCTGCTGTCTGCTGTGTGTTTATTCGGGCAAACATTTGCTAACCCCGGCAGCCTACATTGCGGCCTGCATATGTGGCTGACTGGGTGATCGGAGGAGGCGCGGGAGGAGTGAAGCATCCACCCACACCTGCAAGCAGATACGGATTTACGAACATCCAAGTCAGAGTTACTGGTTAGACATAGATGAGAGACCCTCCCTTTGTCCTGTGGCCGGGCCGTAGACCCACGGCGAGGCGAATGCAAGACAAGGGTGGGAATATGTAGGAATGGACCAAGCCACTCGTCCTCGTCAAGTGTAGACAGACAGCCCCTTCTTGCACGTTGGATTCTCCCTTCACATCTGTCTGAATCCCCCCAACATCTGTTGGTCGTACTCCAACTGCCTACAGCTTCTACTCGACGCAATGGCCTCTGTCTACGCAGTCTCCATCAGAACCCTCTGGGGCGCCAACGGCCCAGACCCGAACCGGGCCTACGGCGAGCTGTACTCGGGCGGTACAACGGTCGACTGGCCGGCGACGCTCACGTCGATCTCTCTGGCCAACGGACCGCCCATCACCGACGTCCGCATCTTCACCACGACCTTTTCCGGCACCGAGCCGACCATCTCCATCACGCGCGCGCTGGCCCAATTCCAGTCGGCAGGCACCACAGGAACCTGGCCGGCCGTGTCGACGGGCATCTTTACGGCGTCACCCGCGTCTTTGACGCTGACTACCGCACCGCCAACCTCGTCGGTCACGTCCGGCACCAGGAGCACAGACACGGGCACGAGCAGCCTCTCGCCGCCGACGGCGAGGCCCATCGCGTCGCCCGACGCGTCGACCCCGGGGCTCGCGACGGGCGCGGTTGTGGGCATCGCCATCGGCTGCGCCCTGGTCGGTCTCGCGATCGGGCTTGTCGCAGCATTCTGCTTCTTCCAGCGCGACAGAGGAGCACAACACGGCAACAGCGGCGGCGTCGAGCGGCAGGCACTCGACAGCGGCGCCGCGTATCCCACGGAAAAGGGAGCGCCGTCGGCGGCCGAGGACGTGCAGCTGAGCCGGTTCCTCCTCGAGGCCACCCCGGACAGGGACATTGTGCAGGAGACGCAGGCCATTGGCGCCCTCATCGACCAGCACGTCGAGAGCTACTACCACACACACGCCGTGTCGGTCGATGCGAGCGCCGTCGCGCCCGCGCTCGCCCAGCTCGGCTTCCCTCTAACGACTACGACAGCGTCCCCGGACGCATACCGCGCCGCGACGCTCTGCCTCGATCCGCGCACGCGCCAGACCGGCCTGCGGCACGTCCTCACGCGGGTGCTTCTGAGCAGCATCGACATGAAGCCACCACCAACCCACGGCGGTCCTCCCTCGATGCTGCCCGCGGCGATATCTTCGTTTCTGCGCGCGATGCCAGCCTCAGACAGCGACCGTTTCCGGGACCCTCAAGGTAAGCTAGCTTTTTGCGCCCGCACGTCCGCCTATTATTCTGAAACACCAATGTCTCGGGCTCGACTAACAACGGGCACAGCCAACACGCGCGCTCTACGGGAGTGGCGCACGCTTTCGGCCTTTCTCCTGCACCCGGGGCGCAGCCAGCGCACGGCGCTGCCGGCGGACGAGGCGGCGGTGGCGGCGCAGGCGCGGGAGCTCGCGGCGTCGCTGCACACGTTCCTGCGGCTCTTTGTGCACCCGCAGCAGCAGCACCAGCGGGAGCACCTGCAGGCCGTGATTGAGGAGTGCGCGCGGCTCGGCTACGTGCTGCTCTCGCACCCGAGCGACTGGGAGTTTGTCTTGGACGCGGGCGTCGCCGCGAACCGGGCAGGCGGCGGTGTCGTGGTCGAGGCGGGCCTGGGCAAACTGCAGCCGGGGAGTCCTTGCGCGCAGAGGCTGCTGGAGCCCATGGTGGTCTCGGTCTAATGTTTTATACATAGTGGTTTAATAAGGGGGTTTCTACAGTACGGTGAAGTGGTTTGTGCCAGATACAACGAATAAGCTGTATGACAGAGTATGAACAAGGTGCTTTCCAAGTCTCGCTTGGGGACCAGCCATGCAAAATGCGCAAAATTGGTAACTAGTGCCAGATAAATTCATGGAAATTCAAGGGGCCTGAATCCACCCCTGCCTGCAGGTCTTTCTTTGTCGAGGGATTGTGGCTTGAGTATTGAGTCACAAAGAGAACCTTTGGACGTCACCGCCCCTGGCCGTACCCTTGTGTGCCTAATAATAGATGCTGCAGAAGAACCAGTGACTTGCAATCAATATCATTAGCTAATAGCCGCTCAATGGAGTAACTTGACGCCTGAGCTCCTCAGCAGTATCCGTACATATTACGGATAAATGAAACAATATCGTTGGTCGTTTGTGTGTTGTCCGTGGCATTGCTCTGTGTGTCTAAGAATAGATTTGCCCAGTAACGTTTTTCGAGCAATAAATCATCTTCTGCTAATAGCCGCTATATCGACCCGATACTCCTCAGCAGCCGACGCAACGACGTCGTTGGTTGTCTGCTGCCCTCTGCGCTCGTCATACCATGCCACTTGCTTCCAGTACGCCAGCGCCATCACGTCCTCCTCGACGCCCTCTGACATGAAGGCCCTCGCGTCTCTGCGTTCCGCCCTGCACGCCGTCGCCGTCACGCGGCGCGTCTCCGACGAGATCCGCGTCAGCCTGCAGCTCGTGCAGACGTGCCACCAGGACCTGCAGGCGCTCATCGCGCTGCGCGACGCGCACCTCGGGCTGCTCGAGGCCGCGCCCGCCGGGGTCCTCGCGCGCCTGCACGCCGTCATCGACCAGGCGCACCGCGGCCTCGCCGCCGCCCGGTGCATCGTCGAGCGGTGCCGCCCCGACGGCCACAAGACGCCGCTGCACGGCCAGATGGAGTGGGTGCTGAGCGCGTCGTCCGAGTTTCGCCGCCAGGAGCCGCTGCTGAGCCGCCATCACGCCGCCGTGCTCGCCGAGCTGACTTTTGTCCGGCAGATGACGACCTGGGCCCTGCTGACGGACGGCACGCCGGGCGGTGTCCCCGCGCTGGTGAGCAGCGGCTATGAAACTGATGTAAAGGGTAGGCTATGGATAAGACGAGAATACGATCACGGAGGAATCAGAGACTGACTGTGCCGTAGTACTGACTGTACCATCATCTCCTTGGCCACCGGCCGCATCTCCTTGGCCACCGGCATCCACGCCAAGCTCCAACCACGCCACACCAGTCATTTCAAACGCCAAGCCGATTGAATATTCGGATCTCCCCGAGCCCGTATTCCCGGGCGCGCTCCCGGGCGCTGTGCAAAGCGTGGACAACGTATCCATGGTGTCGATGGTATCGGCCACAAGATCGGCATGGGGCACCGTTGGGCCGGACAGGGTCGCTTCGAGGAATGCGATTGTGAACTCGAGTCATAACAACGACATGTCGCTTTTATTCGAGGATTGACGTTTGTTTGCATCATGATTTTTATGAATAGACGCGAAATGGTGCCGAGACATGACGCCGCAATATTGCTGCGTGTTGGGGGCAGCGCTGGCAGCTGCTGTACTGGTGTACGATAAATACGTCTTGAAAGTTATTTGGTATTTCTAGTTAGCATGCATGAACTGAATGAAATGATTCTTAGACTAGTATGTGCTTGGCAAGCAGATCAAAACGGGCATGACACTTGTAGGTTCAGTTGTCTGTGTCTGCTTTCTCATACGGAGGATCCTCCTTGTACACCTCATACTTGTACCTGCTTCCAATGTGATCATCCCTCAAGCCCTTCTGGCCCGCGCCGTAAATCTTCTCCCGCGCCGTCAGCACCTCCTCCTGCGGCTCCGGATAGAGGCCACGCCTCCTCAGTTCCGGCACGAGCAGGTCCACGACCTCCTCAAACGTGCCCGGCGTAGTAACATGTCCGATATTAAACCCGTCCAGGTCTGCCTCGCGGATCCACGCCTCGAGCTCGTCCGCCACCGCCGCCGCAGTGCCGACCGCCACGGGCCCGAGGCCGCCAATCGACGCGCGCTCCGCGACCACGCGCGGCGTCCACCTCGGGATCTCGCTGCTCGTCGTCGTGAACGCGTCCAGGATGCTGCGCACCTTGTGCGCCTCCCGCGAGTCGGCCGCCGTGATCTCCTGGTCGAGCGGGAGCGTGGAGATGTCGATGCCCGTCCAGCCGCTGAACAGGACGAGCCCGCCGATTGTCGAGGCGTGCTTCTTGGCCTCGTCGTACTTGGCCTGCGCTTCCGCGTCGGTCCGGCCGATGATGGGCGTAAAGGTGGCGAACACCTTGACGGAGCGCGGGTCGCGGCCGAGCGCGGCGGCCGCGGCCCGGAGAGCGTCGACTTTGGGCCGCAGCACGACGGGCGAGTGCGACGACACGAAGACGGCCTCGGCGTGCGTCGCGGCAAAGGTCGTGCCGGCGCTCGACGTCCCCGCCTGGAAGAGGAACGGGGTGCGCTGCGGGGAGGGGTCGACGATGTGCCGGGTGCTGAGCTCGAAATACTTGCCCTTGTGGTGGATGGTCCGGATCTTGTCCGGGTCGGCGTAGCTGTCGTTGTCGGGGTCCGGCGCGATGGCGTCGTCGGCCCATGATCCCTCCCATAGTCTGAAGCCAAGAGTCAGTGACAGGTGAGAAATGCCGGTCGAGGCTTGAACCGTACTTGTACAAAACCCGCAGGTACTCGTCGGCCTGAAGGTAGCGCTCGTCGTGGTCGATGGGGTTCTCGAGCCCGATGGCCTTGAACGCCGCCTTTTTCCACGACGTGACAATGTTCCAGCCGATACGACCTCTGGTGAAGTGGTCGAGCGTGGAGAAGCGCTTGGCGAGGAGAAACGGAGGCTCAAAGGACGTTGATGCGGTGATGCCAAACGCTAGATTCTTCGTCACGGCAGCCATGGCTGAGATGGGCTATCTGCGTTAGCCCTAGACGATTGACCGTCGCGTCGAGGCTCTCACAATGGTAGGGTCAGTCACCGGCCACTGTGCAGCCCGGCGAATGCAGTTGTCCAGGCTTCCCTCGTATGTGTCGTAGCCTCCGTATGTATCGGCCAAGAAGAGGGCATTGATGCCTCCGCGCTCAAGAAGCTTGGCAAGGTCGATCCAATACTGCAAGTCCCGCTTGGTCGCAGACTTGTCCGCTGGATTCTGTCAAATGTCAGCTTTGTTCATGAAGACGGAATGGTCGGCCAACAAACCTTCCATTGACCAGGCGACAAGTGTCCGACCGTCGACATGTCAAAGGCATTGAGCAAGATGTGTTTCTTGCCATTGCCTAGTCTGTCGCCTCCATGACTTTCCGTGGCTTCAGCGGCTTGGGCCATTGTATTATGAAAGATGACTTGTCCTATTTCATCGCATGTTGTGCCTCTCATAAAGCAGAGGGTGACATTGTCGCAATATATGCGCCTGTGTCGGTACTTGGGACGACTCGTGGCCCACGCCGATCATCGAGTCTCCATGTAAGAGATGATTAAACATACTACGTATTTCCGATAACGCATCCTACATATGAAACCCGGACCGAACATGTCTATGCAGTGACGCTTACCCGCTATGGCGTGCTGGACAAATTGTCGCGATAACCACGGCCACACTATGTATGCATGTCATGCCGGCCACTATGGCGTGACCAAGCCGAGCTTCGGCCCGGCCTCTGGAATCATGTATTCGCCCGACGTTTATTTCCGTTTCCGCCAATTTACACAACGGAGGGCGCCAGTTACCCTAAATGACTAGGTTGTTCCAGTAATCGTCATGATGATTTTGTGTCGTGCTGTAGTGTCCTGTACTGCTTTCCGCGGTGTAGATGGACTTGCTAAGCCCAGGTTCTTTCTGCTACAAGAAGAGATTATCAACCACGGTAATTAAGTCCTGTATTCCTAATGCAATTCAATTTAAACTAAATCATTAATCGGGGTTCTTCTGTCTTTTATTCGTAGTACTGCAAATTAATCCAGACGAAATTAGCAACCAGGGTTTTCCGTCAGTAGTGCAAATTGGACTTCCATCTATCCTCTACTCGTCGCCATCTCCGGTAAAGCTACCTTCTGGAATTTATCCAACCAGCCGAAACATTCTCAGGTGGCTGCCCATGGTACCGCTTAATGGAGCTTGTCCGGTGTATCTGACTCTGTCGTCACTTCGTCAACCTCTTCCACGACAGACCTTTCAGTATCCGTCAAACTATACACAAAATGTCAGCAAGTTCTTATTACGACCGTAGAAGCCCAACGTACCGATCGCTCTTGCCGTCTCGCGCCAGGACGTGAGCGAGCGCGATCAAGCATACTGCGTTGGCCAATACAAAGGCATATCCCTTGGTGAACCGCGGGGCCTCGACAGTGGGAAACGTCAGTATCTGCGTCCAAGCCGTCGTAGACTGCGAAATGGCATTAATCATGACGAGCGTAAACGACCTCTCAGCAGGCGAAGCACGCAGCTGACTATTAACCCATCCGTACAGCACGCTGGACATGGCAACGGCCGAGTACGTGGTGAAAAAGGCAAACCACTTGGCGCCCTCGGGCACGTCCCACACGACGAGGATAACGAGGCCGACAATGTTCCACGCGTGCGACAGGGTAATGGCCCAGGCCGGGCCGAGGAGCAGATCCGACGCGAAGCAGACGAGCAGCGTGTAGAAGATGCCGAGGCCCGGGGAGATGGCGCCGAGCGCGTTGAGCCTGGCGTTGCTGTACCGGCCGAGGCTCTTGAGCCAGAGCAGATAGCCGCCCGTCGTGGTGTTGATGCTGCCGTTCCAGAAGAAGACATCGAGCAGCACGAGGAGCCACACCTGCCAGCGCGTGACCAGGCTCCGGACCGTGGCCCACGTCACCTTGCCCGAGGACTGGTGGCCGTCGCGCTGCAGCCGCTCCCGGGCCAGCGCAATCTCGGCGTCGGTGAGAAATAGTCGGTTCGGCTGGTCCGGCGTGCCGGGGAGGATGAAGTAGCCGATGACGCCGATGGGGAGCGTGATGACGGCGCAGATGATGTACATCCAGCGCCACCCGGCGAGGCCGCTGACGCCGTCGAGGCGCGCCGAGGCGCTCGACTGGATCAGCGCGGCCGTCAGCGTGCCGAGCGTCAGGCCGACGTAGAAGACGCCCCCGCGCCGGGCGATTTCGTTGCCGCGGTACCAGGAGCCGAAGATGTAGTGCATGGCTGGGAAGAAGGCGGCCTGGGGAGAGGGGACTTGTCAGTCAAGATTGGCCGACAGCGGAAGACAAGCGCAGACAAGCGTCAATACACACATACCTCGAATAAGCCCACCAAGAATCGGTACGCGGCCAGTTCGCCGTACGAAGCCGCGCGGTACTGCAGCAGCGTAAAGATGCCCCAGCTAATGTCCAGAAAGGGAACCGTCCAGTGCATCGGGATGTATGTAAAGAGAAACAAAAAGGGCAGCTGTCCCACGACGGCGCCGACAATGTAGAGCGACTGCAGCTGGATCAGATGGTTTCCGTTGAGGCCCAGGTCTTCCTTCATGCCCGCGACATAGGCATTGTCTAGCGTCACCTGGTCAGCACGTCCATTTTTCAAAAGTCGCGTCGCTGCTTACTGAGGTTGGCTTGGTCAATGTACTTGGCCCAGTACGCGAGAAAGGCATAGGGCACGATGAGCAAGTCCAGCTTGCAGATGAGCTTCCGGTCTTGCTTGGTGTCAGAGTCGGCAAACCATCTGATCTGGTACCACCTTTTTGTCTCGGCAGGCATTTCGTCTGATGTGATGCCGAGTCTTGAGCTAAATTAGGGTCCCGTGTACTTGGTTGATTCACAATTCTCGTAGATAGGTCCCGTCCATGGAAAAGGGTACGGGGAGAATGTTTCATAAGTAGGGCTGGTGAATCAAGGACCAGGATGCGCTGTACCTGCATAGAGTCGTCACAGCAAAGCGCCAGTTGGTCGAAGCTCAGGGACCAAGCTATCACGTCATCAGAGAGATGATTCCAAACGGCAAGACACCATTCATACCCACCTGTTGGTGCTGCAAGGTTATCGCAACGTGATGCCGATGGGATTCCGAAGCCGGCCGTTTCTGCTCCACGTCGAGTAAACGGAAAGAAGCCCGTGTACACGGCAATTCCAGCACTGATAGAGGCAGTTAATAATTGGTTATCCGGGCGGGTTTAGCATGGGTATGTTCACCTACCAGAACATGACACTGCGGGTCAACACCGCTTTCAACAGAACTGGCTGCTATCACGCCATCAACCATGTAGTCCATATTTATAAACCAGTCGCACTGTAAGCCATGGACCCCAGCCAGAGAATTTGTATTGTACCTTGGGCTCATCCAGAAAGAGAGCCGAAAATTCTGGTTCCGTCCGGCTATTGGCAACATGGCTTCCAGTCCGCGGCACTTGGCGAATGGCATCACCTCTAGGGATCACCATCAGAATGAAGCCGCGCCCACTCCAACGCCAGTCACAAATGGAAAGGTGCCAACGGATTCCAAAACTCACCTGCCGAATGGCAAGACCTTTCCATATAGAAGCCCTCGAAAGCCCCTCATCGACAGATTCATCGACGAGCCTCGCGCGTTGCGAGTCGCCGTCATTGGCGGTGGTTTGGCGGGCATCACAGCCGGCATCCTGCTCCCGGCCAAGGTGCCCAACATAAACCTCACAATATATGACAAAAACGCCGACTTTGTACGTCCTTGCCGCCTGACCAACCATTCAATCGTGAATCTACGCTAATCTACAGCAGGGCGGCACCTGGCTTGAGAATGTGTATCCCGGCGTTCGATGCGACATCCCATCCCACGTGTACCAGTCCACCTTTGCGCCCAAGCTCGACTGGTCGGACCAGTTCTCGACCGGCGCCGAGATCCTAGCATACTGGCAGTCGACCGCACGCAAGCACGACGTGTACCAGTACGCCGAGTTTGGGAGCCGCATCGTCGAGGCCGTCTGGGATGCCGCCGCCGGCGCGTGGACGCTGCGCGTGCAAGACGTGGCCACGGGCGCCGTCCGGCTCGCCACGGCCGACTTTGTGCTCACCTCGACGGGCCGCTTCAACGCCTGGAAGCTCCCCGCGTACCCGGGCCTGTCCGACTACCGCGGCCTCGTGCGGCACTCGTCCAACTGGGACCCCGCGTTCGACGCCGCCGGCAAGACCGTCGCCGTCATCGGCAACGGCGCCAGCGGCATCCAGCTCGTCGCCAGCCTGCAGCCGTCGGCCGCGCGCCTCGACCACTACGCCCGCCATCCCACCTGGATCGCCGCGTCCTGGGCCGGCGACGACCGCACCGCCGAGCCGCAGCCGATCCCGGAGCCGCAAAAGGCGTCCTTCCAGGACGACCCCGCGACGTACCTCGCGTTCCGAAAGCAGCTCGAGGACAAGTACTGGCGCCGCTTCAGCAGCTTCTTCCGCGACTCCGAGTCGAACCAGGACCTCCGCCGCAGCTTCATCGACATCATGAAGAAGCGCCTGGTCAAGAAGCCCGAGCTGCTCGCGCACCTCGTGCCCGACTTCTCGCCCAACTGCCGCCGGCTGACGCCCGGGCCCGGGTACCTCGAGGCCATCACGCAGGACAACGTCGAGTACATCACGGCGCCGATCCGGCGCTTCACCGCGTCGGGCATCGAGACCGCCGACGGCGTCATGCGCGACGTCGACGCCGTGTTCTGCGCGACCGGCGCCAACGTCGACCTGGTGCCCGAGTTCCCGATCCGGGCGCACGGGCAGGACCTGCGCGAGGTGTGGGCCGCCGACGGGGAGCACGGGTTCCCGTACACGTACCTGGGGCTCGCGACGCCGGGGTTTCCGAACCTGCTGTTCGTGCATGGTCCGCACGGCACGGGTCCGTCCGGGACGGTGCCGCACAGCGTCGAGAACCAGCTGACGTACTTTGCCAAGGTGCTGCGCAAGGTGGCGCGCGAGGGGATCCGGTCGCTCGCGCCGTCTGCGCGCGCCGCCGACGACTTTGTCGCGTACGCGGATGACTTTTTTGCCACGACGGTGCTGTCGGACCCGTGCAGCTCGTGGTACAACGGCGACCGGCCGGGTGGCCGCATCCACGGCGTGTGGCCCGGCAGCGCCGGCCATGTGACCATTGTGCGCCGCGAGCCGCGCTGGGAGGACTGGGAGTACGAGTATTTGGCAGAGTCGGGGAATCGGTTCTCGTGGTATTTCGGGAACGGCTGGACGAGGGCCGAGGGCGACGACGACTCGGATATGACGCCGTACCTGAAACTGCCGGGGACCGTGGATCTGAAAGATATTCATGAAAGCTGGTGGGATATACCGTAAGGTGGTTTGCGGACTGGGTAGCGGTACTTGAGTAATTCCATCTGCTTGACCCTTGAACGTTTAAAGGCCTTCGTTGCCAGACCATGTATGACTTTGTGTTTTTGCTAGTGAATGGTTCATGCACATTCACGCCTGCCACGGAAGAATTGGAGAGTAGGATCCCGTCAAAGGAACGTATTCTAACGTCGGCTCTTAGACTTTGTCACTCTAACAAAAAGGTGTATTACCTCAGGAAGCCACTCATCACTCCAATAAAAATGATTATTCCCTCAGAAAGCCACTCTCCAAAACCTCGTCAAAGGACCTCGCCCACACAATCCGGCCCTTTGCGTCGCTCACATGCGGCACCTCCACGCCGAGCCTCTTCAGCGCCGTCCGCAGCGCACTCTCCCCGTCAGCCAGCACCACGCCAGCGTCCGCCTCGAGCAAGCACGTCAAGTCGGTCGTCGCGTCGCCAAAGTAGAGCAGCTTGCCGCTGCCCGCGCCAGCATGCACCCGCTGCATCGCGCGCGCCTTGTCGGGCGCGCACACCAAAAGCTCTCCGCCGAGCGCGTCCGGGCCCTGCAGCACGCCGTCGTCCTCGCGCGCGCTATTCGCAACCACGGCATCCTCCTCGCGCAGCAGCCCCGTCGTCGCGCCGCGGATAAACGCCGCCGACCAGTTGACCGACACGACGCTGACCGGCCAGCCATTGTCCCGCGCGGCGCGGACCAGCGCGCCAAAGCCCTGCCGCAGCGTGACGTGGCCGTCGCGCACGGCGTCGGCGCCGATGCGCCGCAGGTCCGCCGCGGCGAGGCCCTGGAAGAGCGCCGCTTCGCCGACGCGCCGCAGCGACGCCCGCTCCACGTCGCGGAGACCCGCGAGGAAGAGGGCTTCCTGGGCGGGCGTGGTGCGCGCGGCCTCGCGCGGGCGGAAACGCGCCGTGTAGGCCGCGAGGTCGCCGAGGTACGCCTGGACGAGCGCGTCCCACGCGGGCTGGAGACGGGCCCCACGGCGGCGCTCCTGGGCAGCCATGGCGGCGGTGGCAAGGTGCGCAATGGTGTCGGCGGTGGTGATTGTGCCGTCAAAGTCGAAAACGAGATGCATTTTGGAGAGCGCCCGGAAACGGGTGCGCAGCATGGCCTGTAGATGTAGGTGGCAAGATTTGGGGGGTTACGATGGAGACTGCCGCGACCGTGATATTCACACGAGAAAAAAAAATCTATTGAGAAATTGAGAATAACCTGATTCATGCGCCAAACTCCCAGTGTACATTGTCCTTTGTTTTCTAAGAGAGAACAACATCCTCCATCTCGTCGGGCTCGTCGTCGTCGCCGTCGTCGACCGTCTCGGCCGCAGCCTCGCGGGACTCGTTGCCGCCCTTGTCTCTGTAGGCGTCGCTCAGGCAGTAGTGATTGGCAAACGGGCCGGACTTGTTGAGCACAGCCACCTCCTCGAGCACCTGCCGCAAGTACGAGTCGGGCTGCTGCGTGCGCTGACGGAGCGCCTTCATGGACCAATACTGATATAGACGGAAACAGTCGAAGATGAGATCGAGAAGCTGGTTCTTGGGGATACGAGCAGCCTTGAAAATTTCGCCCTTTTTCGGCTTGACGAGAGAGGGTGTATTTTTCTGCATAAGCACGGGTTAGAGGACATTGAAGACGACGGAGAGGACGACGCTGCGTACGATAAAGTTGCCGGCCCAGCCAACGGCGCCAGCGGTGCCGGGGTTGATAATGGACGATGCCGTGTTTCTGCTGATGATTTGCAGCTTGGCTCGCGAGTGTTCGGCCTGGAACAGCTGCTGGCCGAGGTAGCGCTCCTCTTCTCCCGTATTGCGAGGCTCGACGCGAACATCATAGTGTATCTTGCCAAAAACCTTTGTCTTTTCTACACAATTGTCAGTTACGTGTTGCGCCTCTCCGCTATCAAGCGCACAGCAGCCCACTCACTCGGGATCGCCTTGCGAAAGTACGGCTGAAAGCGCGACTTGCGATCAAACGTGTGCCGCTGCGGCCCGCCACCGCCAGCAGCAGCTGCCGCCGCCGCCGCCGCCGCCGCCTCCTTTTGCCGCAGGATGTGGGCGGGGATGCCGGCGTTGATCTGGTCCTGGCGGGCCTTGTTCTTGGCCTTGTAGCTGGGCAGGTCCTCCTCGGTGAAGATGAAGTGATTGCGGACGTCGCGTTCGAGGACGTCGAGGTCGTACTCGCGCGGGAGCTCGTGGTGCTCGCCGCAGCCCGGGTCGAGCAGCATGCGCAGCTTGGTGGACTCGGGGCCGATGTGGCCGTCGGCGTCGGGGACGCCGGGCTCGTTCCAGGTGCGCAGTGTGCCAATCTGCACCTCATCGTCGTCTTTGAGCCGTTCGCCAAGGCGCTGCCAGGCCTCCCACATGTAGCGGGGGACGCGCGCGAGGTAGAGCGTCTCAAAGGTCGGGCCTTGGCTCCTGTCGTAGAATTCAAGGTCGCCCGCGTCCTCGAACAGGTCCTCGTCGTCGACGGCGGGCGCGGGCTCGCCCGTCTCGGCCTCGGGCTTGACGAAGCCGGTGTCCGCCATGGCTAAAGATTGAGATGAAGGCCGCGGTTATGGGCGTAGTCGGTGCGCGTGATGAGGTGGGCGCGGTTGGTGATGGAGAGAGGGTGAGGCTGCGAGTGACGCCCTGGACAAGGTTGAGTAGACCCACATAACACAGGCAGTATTACAATGCATTTGGACATGAAGAAGATTTTGTCCTCTACGAATTAATTTAAATTCTTTTCAATGTGTCTAAGGAAACTTATGCCGCGATTTTCTTTTAGGGTTTTTTTTGGATTTGTTTTGATTTTGTTTTGTTAAATCACGTGTCTTGCTAGGAGCAGATGAAGTACGCGATACTTGGCGGTTCTTGCTACTAATAATTATCCTTTGTGCTTCTTGTGAAAGGATTCGCCGTCGCTTTGTGAATTCTGGTCCCGTCATTTTGTTCATTCCTTTACGGGATCCCTGGTCTTTATTACCTCCTTGTCGGGTTGTTTTGCCTTTGTTGTCGTACCGGTTGGCAGTTGGTCTGGGCGACTGCCTGCTGGTCAAAATTGGTTCTAGGTACAAATTATAGGCGCCATGATTTTTATTATGACCGGATTGGGGGCCGTTCTGTTGATCTTGTCTCAATCCCATCAAGACTCAGAAACAGGTACAACCATCATCAACCAGCCAACAGCCAACAGCTGGCCCGCATCTACACTCGGTCAGATATTTATTCAAAATATTTCCGAAAGATAAGTCGCATGACTTTGACCTTCTGTAGCCGAGGTGTTTCTATCCACAGTGCATCGTTTGGTGCTCCACCGTCTTTGAGCCTCTAGACCAATCAAAAATGACACAAACTCACCAGCGATGAAACGCCACAATATCATTGGGCGTGCTATTCTGAAGTGTCCAAGCTTGGCTCAGGCCCAATAAACACAGTTTTAGCGTCAAGCCAGCACAGAAGCTCCCCTGTAATCCTTGCCAGTCCGCCTCGTGTACAGCTTGGAATGCCCAGTTACATCATCACCCTCAGCCCGTCTGCTTGGCATTGTTTTCGTCGCTCGTTCCTGTAGATCCTCGGCTCTCTCTCTCTTAGCCCTCGTCCTCGCGCTCGACTCTTTCTTTCCGGCCTTCCCAGTTGAGCTTCCTATACTTGCGCCGCCTCAATCGCTCGTATCGCGCCAGCGACAGCTCAAGGAGCTCCCTTCAGCAACGCGCCAGACCTCATCATGTCCAATTCTCTCTCGCAGGCCGCCCACGGCACCCCCCAGAACCCATACTCGTCAGCTAGCCGCTGGCGTCACCAGGAATCGAGCTCCTTCTCCCGCCATGCCGTTTCGCATCCGCATCCAGATGCCGCTGCCGCGCAGGCGCACATTGACGGCGTGGCTCCCCAGGGCCTCAACGGCGACGGTCCTGTTTCCAGTGGCGACAGCAGCGAGGTCGTCTGCGGCCCCCTGCTCAACTACTGCCACATGCAGGACGGCCATTGGGAGGGCAGTGTGCTCATTGTCCTCAACGGCGGCGGCAAGAAGCAGGGCCCGGTTCCGGTGTTGAGCTTGCAGCGAGCCGGCGCCCGCGGTCAAGCTGGCGCGGAAGCTGCTGGCGCGCCGGTGAAGCAGATCTCGGGCTTTCGCCTCTACTCTGACCCGCGCAACACGTTCTGGCGCTTTGATATCACCGTGCCTATGGAGCCGACCGAGGTTCAATACGCCTACGAGTTCCCCGGTCTGCGATTCTCCAACCCCGAGAAGCCCCAAGTCAACCGCTTCTCTGTCCCTGCGGCCGGCGAATCTATGCGCCTCATGTTTCATTCTTGCAACGGCTTCAGTGTCGGCACCGACGAAGAGGCCTTCAGCGGCACGCCTCTTTGGAAGGACGTCCTTCGCAAGCACGAGGCGGCCCCGTTCCACGTCATGCTCGGCGGCGGCGACCAAATCTACAACGACGGCATTCGTGTCAGTGGTCCGCTGCGGCCCTGGACAGACATCTCGAACCCCAAGAAACGACGCGATTTCCCTTTTTCTGAACAGCTACGGGCTGAATGCGACGATTACTACCTGAAGAATTACCTTCGCTGGTACAATACCGCGCCGTTTGCGATTGCCAATGGCCAGATTCCCCAGGTCAACATCTGGGATGACCACGACGTAGGTGTCCATCTCTCGAGGCCCAAATCATGCTGACCTTGCAGATTATTGACGGCTTCGGATCATATGTCAACGACTTCATGACTTGCGACGTTTTCCGCGGCATTGGTGGCACCGCGCACAAGTATTACATGATCTTCCAGCACCACCTAGCGCCGCCTGTCTCGACATATACATCCGGTAAGACGCCCACAGTTCGGATGGTGCGGTCACGCTAACAGCACAGACTTTCGCGGTGAGGGAGCAGATCCGGCGCAGCAGGTGGACACGTTTGTCGCCGAGCAGAATCCCGGTTCGCAGTACATTATCGGAGCAAAGCCAGGCCCATATGTTGCCGAGCGATCATTCAACATGTATGCGCGCCTCGGCGCTCGCATGGCCATGCTCGGCATAGACGCACGAACAGAGCGCACGCGCCACCAAGTCAACTATCCCGAGACATATAAGCTGCTGTACCAGCGTCTGCGCGATGAGCTGCAAGCGGCCGCCAGCTCTGAGCAGCCCATTGACCACTTGATTCTCCTGTTGGGTATTCCCATCGCCTATCCGGTTCGTATACCTGTGCAAACAATGTCAACGAAGCTAACCAATTAGCGCCTCACCTGGTTGGAGAATATTCTGCGAAGTCCGATCATTGGACCCATCAAGTTTCTAAGCCGTCGTTTTGGAATCGGCGGTGGTCTGTTCAACCATTTTGACGGCAGCGTTGATCTTCTCGACGATCTCGACGACCACTACACGGCCAAGACTCACAAGGCGGAGCGTCGCGAGCTCATCGAAAGCATGCAAAAGATTGCCGCGGAATACAATGTCCGCGTGACGATTCTCGGCGGCGATGTGCATCTGGCGGCGCTCGGTCGCTTCTACTCGAACCCCAAGCTCAAGATTCCGGTCGAGGAAGACAGCCGCTACATGGCCAATATTGTGTCGTCGGCGATTGTGAACAAGCCTCCGCCGCAGGCCGTTGCCAACCTGCTGGCGCGCCGCAACAAGATCCACCATCTCAACGAGCAGACGGACGAGACCATGCTGGACCTGTTTGACCGGGATCCCGGCAGCACGCCCAAGACGGCCGGGCACAACAAGTGCACAATGCCCAGCCGCAACTTTGCCATGATTACCGAGAACTCGCCCAACAATCCCGCGGCGGCGGCGGCGGCGGTGACCAACGGCGCGACGGAGACGAAGAGCTTTGTCGGCAAGGACGGCCATGCGCAGATGCACCAGGGCGAGGTCGGCGCCGGGACGGGACACAGAGCGGCGAGCGACGCGTTTGGGCAGGGCAACGACGGCAGCCTCGACATTCGCATCAATGTCGAAAAGGACCAGCACAATGCGGAGGGGCCTACGCAGGCGTATGGCTTAACGGTGCCAGTATTGCGCAAAAGGGCGGCTGGGGGTCCCCAGTAAAAAATAGTTGTGCCAGCTGCAGACCGATCGAAGATGACGCTAGTAGGCTGGATGGTTTGATTTTGGGTGAGCGGAGGTGGTGTCCGGGTCGGCGACGTCTTCCGGGCGGACCCTGCGTCGAGTTTGAGATACCTTGGACCTTGATCCGTAATTTTTCTTTGTTGTGTCACTAGTTTTAATATTGTACCACTTTCAATGTGCAAGTGGTAGTTATAATTAGCCGTGTCGATGCAAAGTTGATATATTCTGGGTTGTCGTTTTGTTCGCCGATGTCCTGCGTCCATGCCAGTGTCCTCACTGTGTGGTGACGTGACCATTGCAGCTATTACCCCATTTCTCCATCATTCCGACATTGACTCCGACAGACATTCTATTACCCTATTTTTGAATCATTCTGACATGTCGTCGGGTGGCCGCGGCGAGCCATGGCGCTCCCGGTGGGGCGGGTGTGAGCGCTGAAACTGCCTGGGTGCAAGGGTTCAGGCGGTGCTTCCGAGTCTCTTTCCCCAAAAACTCCCCCAAAGGTACTAGCAAACTGGTCACCTCCAGCACACCTTCAGCGCTCTGCCCCACTTAACGACCCCCGCAACGTGCTCTGCTAAACCGTGCTAAGCCGGCCCACCAACAACCCTGTTGTACGTGGTACTATTTTTTTGGCAGCTCTCCCCAGCTCACAAAAGCTATGGGGGCGGCGATGTCGGGTGGCACTTACGAGAGTAAAACATTGTGCCTCCGACATCTCATCTGTCCTTTTTTTTTCTTTCCTCTCCTCCACATCATCTCTGTTTTCTATTACTGCCTCTTTTCTCCCTCAATTGTCGAGAAGTCTTTGTTGATTTCCTCACGCAGATACCAGAACATGATGCAATCCGCCGTCTTTCGCAAAGCCGGCCTCCGCGTGGCTGGCCGCGCCGTCCAGACTCGCTCCGTGGCCTCGATGGCCTCGTTCAAGTCGCCCGCCGTCTACAACGAGCCCAACGTACGTCAATCGACCTGTCCCTCCCGGTCGTCGGATCAAAGCTAACCGTTGCTTTCCGCTTGTAGCACCACTATGCCAAGGGCTCTGCCCAGCGTGCCGGTCTGACGGCCGCGCTCGAGAAGATGCAAAAGTCGCTGCCATTGGACGTTCCTGTCGTCGTCAACGGCAAGGAGGTACGTGTCTAGCTACCTCGTCGCGTCTCCGGCGTCACATCCTAACCTCTTCAGATCCGATCGTCCTCCATCTCCACCCAGCACAACCCCTCCGAGCACGCCAGCGTCGTGGCCAACTACCACACGGCCACCAACGCCGACGTCAACAAGGCCATCGAGGCCGCCCTCGCCGCCAAGCCCGCCTGGGAGAACCTCCCCTTTGCCGACCGCGCCGCCATCTTCCTCAAGGCCGCCGACCTCATCGCCAACAAGTACCGCTACGACATCATGGCGGCCACCATGCTCGGCCAGGGCAAGAACGCCTGGCAGGCCGAGATTGACGCCGCCGCCGAGCTGGTCGACTTCTTCCGCTTCTCCGTCCACTACGCCAACGAGCTCTACAACGAGCAGCCCGTCCACAACTCCAACGGTGTCTGGAACCGCCTCGAGTACCGCCCGCTCGAGGGCTTCGTCTACGCCGTGTCTCCCTTCAACTTTACCGCCATCTCCGGTAACCTGGTTGGCACCCCGGCCTTGATGGGCAACGTTGTCCTGTGGAAGCCCTCTGACTCGGCCATTGCCTCCAACTGGCTCGTCTACCAGATCCTGCTCGAGGCCGGCCTCCCCAAGGACGTTGTCCAGTTCATTCCCGGTAACCCAGTGGAGATTACCAAGACTGTTCTCGCCCACAAGGAGTTTGCCTCTCTGCACTACACCGGTTCCACCGCCGTTTTCCGCAAGCTGTACGGCGCCATTGGCCAAGGCGTTGCCGAGGGCCGCTACCGCTCGTACCCCCGCATCGTTGGTGAGACTGGCGGCAAGAACTTCCACCTTGTCCACCAGACCGCCGATGTCCACAACGCCGCCATCCAGACTGTCCGTGGCGCCTTCGAGTACCAGGGCCAAAAGTGCTCGGCCACCTCGCGCCTGTATGTTGCCAGGTCCATCTGGCCCGAGTTCAAGAAGACTCTTGTCGCGGAGACGGAGAAGCTCAAGCAGGGCGGTCCCGAGGACCACACCAACTTTGTCGGTCCCGTCATCCACGAGGCCTCGTTCAAGAAGCTCTCTGGTGCCATTGACCAGGCCAAGACGGACAAGGAGCTCACGCTCCTCGCCGGTGGCTCCTACGACAAGTCCAAGGGCTACTTTGTCAAGCCCACCATCTACCAGACCACCAACCCCACCCACAGCTTCCTCAAGACGGAGTTCTTTGGTCCCATCATCACCGCCTACGTCTACGACGATGCCGCCCCCGATGCGCTGGCCAAGGTCTGCGAGCTCGTCGACACGACGACCGAGTACGGTCTGACGGGTTCCATCTTTGCCGCCGACCGGACCGTTATCCGCGACGTCGAGGAGAAGCTGCGCAATGCCGCTGGCAACTTTTACGTCAACTGCAAGAGCACTGGTGCCGTGGTTGGCCAGCAGGCGTTTGGTGGTGCCCGTGCCTCGGGTACCGACGACAAGGCCGGCAGCAGCCACATCATCACCCGCTTCACCAACATTCGCATCATCAAGGAGGAGTTCAACGCCACCACCCAGGTCGAGTACCCCTCGAACCAGGCGTAGATTTAAAAATATTTTGGAGATTCAATGTATTATGAGCACTAGCGTATGCAGCTTACTTAATTGGCAATTCAATGTCACGGTCGAATGTACAGTCCTAGTCATGCGGCATCACGTGTGACCACACCACACTGTACTCGCTCGTCATTGGACCTTTTTTTCAATATACATGACATTATACATGACCATGCATCGGTATTCATCGTACACATGCAGTGTATGGAGTACGTCTGTGGGCTATCAAGGAACTAAGGAGCTCTTTTTTTTCAAAGTGATCAACGCAGGCTAAACTATGGTATATAGAAGAACAAAATCTCACGTCCCAGCTTTTGTCGCCAGGCCCTCGTGGTATATCAGAAACGTTGCCGCACCACACCCCTTTCCATCTCCCGCCGCGCAAACCCACGGCCCCCTCTTTTCACCTCTTGTCAGGGCGGCACGGACGCACCATACAGGTGGCCGGGGTATATGCGCGGAGGCCGGGCGTAGTTGTTCGGCCCGGATATGAGGCGCTGGTGGCCGAGGGTGTTGTAGAGCTCGGGGAGGGAACCGACGTGCGCGTACATCCAGCCTGTGTAGTAGCGGTCGCAGCCGTCGACGGGGGCCATGCCGGGGTCGCCCTCGCCGTGCGGGGGGCAGTTCTTGTCGATGAGGGCGCAGGCGAGGTACTGCATGGGCCCGTTGCGGTCGAGGCGCAGCCAGTCGTCAAACGCGGCGAGGGTGCGCAGACAGCGGCGGTCAATGTACACGCAGTACATGAAGCGCGGCACGTGCGACTCGATAAAGGGCCCGTCGGCGCCGGG